CTTCCAAAATTTCTGTATTGAAACCCTAATATCTAACGTGATACTTGGAGGGATTTTTGGTAAATAGGACATCAGAGTGGAACCCTCAAAATGGGATTAGTGCCCTTGTAAGTAGAGACATGAGAGATGATCTCTCTACCATGTGAAGAATCAGCAAGAAATGTCACAAGCCAGGAAGAGCCCTCACCAGGACCCAACCATGCTGGCACCCTGATCTTGGACTTCAAACCTCCAGAACAGTGACAAATATATTTCCCAATCTATAGCTCTTTTACCATAGCATCCGAAGGTGTGAGACATCAACATATAATTTTCAAACTACCTCGCATTTCCATGGAATCCATATGGTTCAGAACTTAAAGGTTAGATTTTAAAATTTTGGTTAAAGACCAGGTGGGAATAAAACTCAGTTGTACATTCCAGCCATCTATTTGTGTGGCAATCTGTTTCTTTATTTACCAACGCATCTGAACACAGTGCTAGACTACATTCCCTAACTTGGTTTGCAGTCAAGTGTGGCCCCAGTGGCATTCTATCCAATGGCCTGTAGGTAGAAATAACATGTCATCTCCAGGACTGGCTCAGAAAACCTTCCTATGTGCAAATCCTCCATTCTGAGAAAGGACCTAGAGGAAGGTAGAGTCACAAAATGCAAGAAGCCTGGGTGAGATGCGCTGCCATGTTAAGAGGATACATGCCAGACTTTATTACTTCAGAGAGAAACTTCTATTGTTAAGGCCCTGAAATACGGCTTTTTAAAAAAAAAAAAAAAAAAAAAAGCCACAGTTCACCCACACTCAACATGGAAGTTAAAAAAACAAAATAAAATCTTCACTAAGCAGTAAAAATTGTCAGTCATAGTTGACCACTAAACTTAACATTTTTACCATTTATAAAAGAATGTATACTGACAAGGAAACACCCTATTTAGTGCTTATGCTTTCATATGAATGTGTTCCTGAATAGTATTCAACCTGAGTTGGTACTTGTGACTTCCAGATCTGCAAGCAATCAGACCTTGCAAATGTATTTCCTCATTTGAACACTCTAAAGTTATCTGTAAAAATCTTCATCAGTATTATATGCCAAGACAGAGTGAGGACAATGATAATTGAAGATTTTATCAGCTGTATTGTTTACATTTTTACAACAATCTGCATCTAAAGAGTCCTTTGGAAATATTCTGAACTTTCTGAAGATAACCTAGAATACTCTGATAAAGGTCTTCATCAGTATCTTCTCAAAGCAGATGGCAGTGGCAGAAAATGGACTAAAGCAGATGGCAGCAGCAGATAATGGATTAAACACATACATACACATTTTCTCTTTTCTTCTATCATTTTATAAATAGGACTCATTGAGAAGGTCAATGTCTCCAGCAACATAAAAAGTCTTATGATCTAAAATCTAATGTGATTTGGCCGAAAACTAACCCTGAGCACTCAATTCCATAAGAAAAGGGAGTGGCTGGCAGTGATTGTGTAAATGGAAACTTCTTAATACTAGGGTCCTGTAAGTTCACACTCAGTGTTCACCTCTCAGCCTCTGGTATCCATGGTGTAAGGACATCATCTCATACGGAGCTGGGTACCCATGCAGAGAAGGAGAGCAAGGCCAAGACCAGTCAGTTACAGTGACTAAGTTAATACACGCTGTTCAAGTTTGTGCTTATCATTAAATGTGCCTCTTTCCCAGGATCCTCATTAGCTAGAAGCCTCCAAGTGGCCAATAAGAGACATGGCTGTAAGGGAAGGACCTAGTTAAGTTAGAAAGAAGATTCAAGAGTTAATACCAATTCTTTTAAAAAAAAAAAAAAAAAAAAGTCTTCTTACCTGATTGTAATTTCATCTTTATCTAAGACAAGTAATAGACAGTCAAACTTTTAGGATTAACAAATTACAAACAATTATAAAATATTCCTTGAGGTATTTGCTTTGTTTGTAAAGATTAAACTCTTTGAGTTTATTATTGCTTATATTTCAGTGAAAACAGGTGAGTTCATCCACATGGCCACTTTACTTTAAAAGTTGGGGATGATATGGCAAAATTAGCCAAAGTGATGGAATGGATTAAGTTTAGGAAATACTATATTTACAAAGGATCAAATCATCTCTCAGATGAGCCTTGGAGTAAATATAGGCATCCCTTGGCATCTGTGGGGGATTTGTTCCCCTCACAGACAGAAAAACCCACAAATGCTTTCAAGACCCAAGTAAAATGGCTCAGTATTTGCCTATATCCTCTGCACACACTCTTGTACTTAGAGTCAACTGTACATTACTTCTAACACCCAATCCAACATGAATGCTATGTAAGAAGCTATTACCCTCGAGTGTCTAGGGAACAATGACAAGGAGAAAAGTCTTTACATGTTCAGTAAAGACACGACTTTTAATTAATGTTTTCAATCTACAGTTTATTGAATCCATGGATGCAAACCCCACCGATATGCAGGATGACTATGTTAAATAAAATGGTCTTAGAATCTGAAAAGAAAAACAGAAGTAACATTGTATAAACTCTGGATGGCTGTTATCTACATGATTTTCCTTGATGATTTACTTGATCCCTTATGAGATGCTTTCAGTTAATTTACTTCCTCATCTTTTGTTTTCTCAACCAACTTCAGTTTGGGCATTCAGAACTCAATGTCCAAGACAAACACATCCACTTGAATATTGTTATTTCTCCATATGGAGGCCAATCAGCGTGTTGTCGTCTATATTTATATAATGTACTGAACACAGAGGTAGCTACAGTTACATGCTTATCCAAAATATCCTGAGTTACATATTAGTTGCAAACTATTAATGACCTGGATTATTTACATTTACATTAGCATATAAATCTAGTTACAAAGGTACTCATTCATAAACCAGATTTCTAATCTTAACTAAATGATAAGTCAGCATAACATGAAATTATATGAAGATGTCTATAGTATGTACATCATACACATTATATGGCATGATTAGAAAATTAACATTCATGGAATAAAAGAATAAACCTATAACCAATTATAATTCATTATAAAACTAAAACTTGAAACAACTGGGATAAGAATAAAGTTTCATGGAAGTAAAAACAACAAGCACTACAGAAACAAGGAAATGAGGTACCCAGCACAGTGGCCTCAGCATCATGAAACATGGCTCTGGTCCTGGGCTGACCTGTCCAACAACTCAGAAATCCTTCGTGTCTCAGCCATCAAACTTTTTAAGTGAGCAAAATGAATGTGCTGATTTCTAAGAAAACTGCAGTATTTGATAAGTTTACAGTTCTATGAAAAATGCAGAAATCTCAGCCAGCAATAAGCTATAAATCATAAATGGCAAAGGTCAGGGAAAACACAATGTATTATTCATATGTTATATATAAGCATCAAATTTTAATTCAATCAAATGCTAGGATGCAGAAAGTCATCACCCATCACTTTCTATGCTACAAGTAACAATATACCCTTGGACAGTTTTAGGGATTCAAGTGTTTGATTTCTTATTTAGTCCTTCCCCAACCCTGGCCCCTGTTCTTTCTGTTACTAAAGGGAAATTATGTTTAAATTAATAAATACTCATTGAATGGAGAATAATTCCAGGACAGGAAATCCCTCATGACCTAAGGAGAGGTAGGAAAGAAATGCAATAAAGATCTCTCCATGTGTACAGTTGACGAACGAGGCAGGCAGGCTAACACTGCAAAATGCAATGCAAAATAACAGAGCAAAATAAAAATAGGAATAGGAATTAAGACTTGTTCACTCCACTTCTTATTAGCTTATTGTTGTCATTTCCAAACACCACCTTACACACAATACATCAATTTACCCGAAGACCCTGGGCCAGGAAGGATATTAAATATACAAATAGCAATTAAATATACAATAGCAAATCCATTCCTTGGTTGCCTTGTTTCCCATACCCAAAAGAATTTCTCTAAAATATGAACATCTAAAAAAAGACTTGGAAGTACCAGTTTCATTACTGCAAAGAAAAATAACCCATTTCTAATGCAGTATGATAATGAAGAGTGAACACCTCCCCGACAATGGGTGGTCCCGCAGTGCTTCCAAGAATGGCTCTCTGTAAGTGAGCACCTAATTTCTAGAATTTGAGATTTTTTGAGCTGTCTGCTTCTTTTAGAATTTTTTGAATATGTACTTTGAATCTGCCTTGATTCAAACCTTTAGACTTCTGAAAATAGATCTAAGCTGTGCAATTTTTCAGCATCTGAGAGGGAACCCCAGTGAGATTCAGGACAGGAATGGGTAAGAACTGCAGTGCCTCTATGACAACTAATGATAACTTTTGGATGAGAGCTGTTTTGCCATCAGAATGCAACTTAAAGGTCAGTATGTTAGCATGAACCTAAGGAACTTGAAGTATAAAACAAAAGCCAACAAAAGGGCCAATATTAAAGAAATCAGAAGGATTGAATTCAAACCTTACCTGGTAGCTCTTCATTTAAATTTAAGACTAACACAGCTTATGCCCCCCCACCCCCTGCCACACACACACACACACCAAAAATAATGAATAAGAAAGCTAAACCCAGGGCTGGGGATATAGCTCAGTTGGTAGAGTGCTTCCTTGCATGCACAAAGCCCCATCCCTCCTCACCACAAAAAAAGAAAGAAAGAAAGAAAGAAAGAAAGAAAGAAAGAAAACTAAACCCAAATATAAACAATTGAAAAGTCACAGAAGTGTTGAAAATATTAGTAGAAGCAAAGTGACAGTGAAAAATTTTAGGACATAGAAAGTTTTTCACACATTTTTCCATTTATAAAAATAATTGTTAATTTTTTAAAACCTGCAGCATTTAAAACTATAAAGTCTATCAATTCAAAAATCACTTTGATTTAAATGCCATAATCTGTATAGTTAACCAATATATTTGATAACTGATTTATGTATGATTCTCATTAAAGTATCCCACAATATAAACTTCCTTAAAACAGAGCTAAATCATTTTACATAGAAAAATATTAAAATAAAAGAATGACATAATGACAAACACCTATTTATTTTATTAAATACAAGGCTGAAATGTGATAAGTAGGTATTACAGATTCAAAGAAATTACATCTCCGATTCCCAAAATGTTCTGCTGGGACTTTTTGACAAAATAAAACAATGCTTTAAAGGGTTTTTTTTAATTCCTAAAAAAAAAAAAAAAAAAAAAAAAGGCAAGAATTTGGGGATACAACGTAAGTAAAATTCAAAACTTAGAAGTTTATTCAAAATTGTTTTGAATCCCTAAGGTGTCTGTAAACAGTTTATTTCAAACGTTCATAGCTTAAAGGAATGTGAATATCACAGTTTATACTGGTTTCTGCCTAGGAAAGCCCAGCAAAGCTACACAGTAGTTTCGTGTTTCCATAATCCAGTCCTGACATTGCCAGTGCCATCGGTACCTAGCAGGGGGCCTTCCTGCCCGCTGCTTTTAACTGGTCCGTTCTGAATGGCCAAGTTGAGGCCATAAGACTTCTGCTGACTTTCAAGTTCAACTACAGTTGACTTCCTTAATGCATCTTTTTTACTGCTAGTGGAAACAGGCTTTTCAAAATTCCGGCTACTTTTGGGAAGTGTGCTACAAGCATCACTACTGTCTTGTTGGGGTGGGTTGTACTGCCTCTCTCTGTAGGCTAAATAAGCTCTCCGACTTCTCGAATGTCCTTCGCTGTTGCCCGGCCGACTCTTAGGCAAGCCGTTCTGCACGCTTCCCTCCACACTGGTTGGGACATCGTAGGCATACTCTCTCAGGACCGTGAGCCGGCTTGCCCGGTGTCCTTTACTCCGGTTTTTGTGATGGCGGCTGGAGTGCACATTTGTCCGAAACTGCACGTCTAGAGGCGCCACGTGCATTTTAATATCATTGTCCATTGAATGTTCTGTGAGACTATTATCAAGCTGAGGTGTAGAGTTCAAAGGTAAAGAATTGGCATGGCACTGTGCCGCAGCAGCCTGCAAGTTTGTTAACTTACAGCCCTGGGAGGAATTCTTGAAGCTTGACGCGCTTTTGTTTGTGCATGAGGACTCTGCGCTGCTATTGGTGCACTTGGGTGCCTCTCCGTTTGTCCCACTGGAGTTGGGGGGCTGGACATTGACTTGCATTGAATACGAGCTCCGTCCTGGGCAGCACGTCATGATCCACGCAAGTCTGACATCCTCCCGATTCACACAGTGGTGAACCATGATGAAGGCACTTAAGCTTAAACACGTGGCTCCAAAGAAGAAGCTAAAAACCAAGTCCAGAGGATAATACAAAGAGACCGCCAGGGCCCCGAACATCCACAGAGCGACATACAAGAGCAAAGTAAGGCTCGCCCCCAAAAGCTGAGAATGAAAAGTGTGCTCGTTTTCCAAGGCTGACGTAGAAATCAGAGACAAAGACATTGAATCCTGATGGTTTATTTCCCCATTTTCATTGGCTGCCAATCTCTGCTGCTCCTCTGGGGGCTCCTTAAGCTCATATTTGCGCTCAGGGTGTCTTTTCAACTGAATAAATATGCTTAGAAAGTACATACAGTTTACAAAAGTGATGAAGCTGGCAGGTCCGTAGAAGGCTCCCAAGGAGGGTTCCCACGCCATCCAGCAACTAGAAGAGAACAGGGAGAATCAGCTCAGAGGCTACATACTTCGGCACCAGTAAACTGTGGTGCAATGAACTGTGGCGCCTAGAAGACACCAAGACAGGAGCAAGTGGTCAGGTACACAGAGAATGCAAAATACTCACTAGGGTGCACTTGGCCGACTGCCGTAATTCCTGATGTTGGCTGCTGCTGTTATGCCACAAACTATGATGGGAATCCCACCACCGATCAGGTAGAACCTGCAAGGAGGAAGGGACAAATGTTCCTTATTCCATTTTTTAAGGCATATTTATTACAGTATCTGAGGATTCAGAAGTCATTCCTTAAAGATTGTTATCCTTATTCGAAAAAGGCATTGAGAGTTAACTTTTGGATGCTCAATTTTTTTTTTTTTAAAGTGATAACGTTTTTGTTTTGCTTTGGTTTGGAATTTCTTTTTTAAAAGCATCAATGAGGTCGAGGAAGTTTCTGAGTGAGGAAAGCTGGTCAGCTCCTGCCACCCTGTGGTCAGGCAAAGGAACACCTCAGGCAGGCTTTTGCCTTACATTTTGTTTTGAGGGGGAAGTGGTGTCTTTTAGATTCAGCTGGTGAATTAAAAATCAGTCTGTTGCAAAGCTCATTTTAAGATCTCGCTGCACCACAGTTTAAATTTAAAAAATGTGATGATGTATTGCTACTGCCTTCAACGAACACCTGCCCACTCCAGGACCTCCAACTACTGTGTGTCACATCCCCTGGTCAGCTGAGGTTGGGTATCAGATCCTAGTGGCTTCACAGCGTGCAGAGACCCCTACCCCCCCCACCCCTTCCTATGGAGTAGCTGGGAAAGCTAAGGACACACTGGTGCAGCAAGAATGGATGCAATAGTTGTGACTAGTCCAACAAAGGAAAACTTTTAAGGCCAGAACATCTCTGAGCTTTAGAACTTTCTATCCTGGCGGGGTACCCTGGGTACAGTCAGAATCTTAATTCTTCATTTGCCTTTTCTTGAGAAACAGCCCCCTACCCTTCCCCAAATATTGAATGGACTAGATAAAGGCAAATATTTCTGATGCATTTTTCCATAAATGGTTTCTTCATCATATACAGAAACAAAAATCCTTAAATATGGTATTAGTATTGCTGAAGAGGTTGCTAGCCACCCTACAAAACTACAACCACCCCTTCCGTGTCACAGATTAAGGAGAAGCTGACATGAGACCCTCCTCTTCTTGCCCCCCATGCTAGCTCCCTTCTGCTTCTTATCTCAAAAGAAGGTAACTTTTCCAAAATTTATCTTGGCTTCTACCATCATCTCTGTGTCTTTTCCCTTGGAACTTCCTGAGTGAAGTCTTATTGTGCAGCTTTAAAATCTCCTCCTCCAGTGCCTCTGATTTTTAGCTTACACCTACACTTCCTTGGACTTCCACTTCCTTTCTCTCTCCCCCATTCAGTTTCAAACTCTTGGAAACAGAGACCTGCACCTGCCTTCTTGACCTTGTGGTGGGGCTGCTGTTACCCCACCATGATGTAGCAGCTGCCCTCAGGACCAGGACAAACATGCAGGCAGCCCCTGCCCCAGACTCCATGCAGCAGCAGTGCTCAGGTTACATCCAAGGACCTGGGGGTGGGGTCCTTGCAAGTACGTTGGCAGCTTCTAAAGCAAAGTGAGCATTTGTAGGTCACTTGGGGGCTGCAGAGGGTCTAGAGCTGGGCTGCTCTTCCTTAACCCTTTGCATTTCTCAGATCACGACAAGAATGAACAGCTGCTGGCAGACAGGATTCTCAGGCCTCTTAGACAAACACCATTTGTCAATTCCTTAACAGAAGTGGCAAAGGGGTATGATCTCATCCACAGTGTGGGTGTGACACTACAGTAGCCTCGCACCCCTGCCACCCCTGAGGCTCCCTGAGCCACCCTCCCTCAGAAACACCTCCATTTTCAGGTGTCTCCTGTCTCCAGTGATTTTTCTCCATGGCCCATCTATTCAACATGGGTGTGATTCAGGGATTACTCTCATAACTACCTTCTCCCTGGGGAGCTTTTGCATTATCATGGCATCAATGATGGCACACATGAAACTGTCTCCTGCCACAACCAGATAAGGCCTCGCTGCTGAGCACTGGGTTTCCAAAAATGTACAATTTTCACAAGAAAGTACTGAGAGCCCACCTCCCCTGGGCCTGCCCACCTCCCCAGGGAGCACACCTCCCCTGGGCTTCCCGGCACCCCACCATTTCTACTTTTCCTGCAGCAATTTCCTGGGTTGTTGCAAGCGCGTCAGTTGAGAAACCTAGGGAACTGGAGAGAACCATCTGCAGCCACTGTCAACTTTCTCGTCCCTCACACTCTTTGGTCACCAATCCTAGAGAAACTGCCCCCCCCCCCATCTCTCAAATATGTGACTTCTCTATTCTGTGACACTGCTGTGACTTTGGTCCTCACAGGGAAAACCACAGTGATTTCAGTACAGGCATTTGGGGGGCATTCCAATTTATGTGCCCAGCCATCCTAAAACGATACCATATGAGGCCACTCCCTTGGTTGAAACTCTTCAGTGGATGCCCACATTTTAATATAGGCTCCAAAAGCCCCAGGGCCAGCTTCCACCCTGAATTCTTCTTCCTCTGCACTGCACACCCTGAACTCCAGCCAAACTCCATGTCAGTTTTTTCATCTTTATCCTGTATCTGGAGCGCACCTCCGGCCTCTGTCCTAAGCACAGAGCAAGGTTGTGGCAATGGCCAGCATTTCCTGAAGCCCACCATCCCCCTAATTAAGAGCTCCTTTCTCTGTACTTTCAAAGACCTTATCTGTACTACAGTCCTTGCCCAGCCCACAGCCAGTTCTCCTTGGTGACTGAAACTCATCCAGGACAGGGAGGGCTGCTCTCGCCCTAGCCCAGTGCCAGGTCCACACCAGGCATTCAATAAGCCTTCACCACGGGCAGATTGTCACCCATCCGGCATGATAACTAATCCACGCACAATTTCTTAAATCCCAATGGGAGGGAAGGACATAATTCCAGATCTGTCTATCTTTTGGAGAGAACAATAAAATTGATTTTCTCTTGAGGAGATTAAAATCTATGACACATGACCTCAAGGAAATAAAAAGTTCACATTAGATGGAGCCTATGGTAGGACCAGTTCCACATTAAATGCTCTGCACATAAATCATTCATCTGTCACCACAGCTCTGTGAGGCAGAATCCACCTCCAAGCCCCACTAGACAGGAGCGCGGGAAGCCCAGCGAGGGTACAATGCTGAGGGCTTTCTCAGAAGGGTGCAGAGCCACCCTCCACAGCAGGCACGAGGCCGACATGGCCACTGGTTTCCTTCCCCAAATCCACTTGTTGTTTTTTGTTATAATTTATGACTATGTTTCATAAATTATAAAAACCAAACTCACACTTAACATAATAAAGCAAACCAAGGTATCAGATACCTGAGCATCGGTCTTGGTGGAGGGGGTGGCTCATCAGGATCCTGGCACCTCTTAGCTTTCTTGGTGACTTGTTTGTAGATGTTTCGAGCGGTCACTCCCACCCACAGGACTGTGGCAAGGGTGGAGTAGTGGAGAACTATCCCGACCTGCAAGGGAGATTGAAGAATGTATTTTCACAGGCTGATTAGAAAGTACGAAGGCACATTCTAATGACCAACTCCTTTGCAGGCTAAAAAAAACAATGCAACCCTAGCAGTTACAGTCTTCTAATACACACAGCAACTGTTAGATTGGGAGACCCACACACATTGCCATGCGTGACCCTTACGATCCTACAGAACTTGCTGCTGGACAACAAGAAACCAAAGGCGTGTTTTCCATAGATGCAGCATTACAGAGTTCATTTTCTAATATCCATTTTAACACAGAGCACAGAGAAAGCTATAGAGCTAAGGGACCTGAATTCTGATTCACAGTGTCCACATATGGGCACATCACAACACACTGGCAGGTTAGAGGGCCAACCTGAGAACAAAATTCTGCTTGGGTTTAAAACTGTGTCCACCTCTTACCTGCTACCTAAGAAAAGTCACCATCTTTCTCACCTGAGAGCTAAGAATTCTATGAAAGTGCTGTGGGGAGAAATGAGGCTTTCAGCACATGATAAGTCCAGGGTCAGTAAAAAATACCTGCACTGTTTATTATGAGTGTAGTGTCCAGGAAATAATGTGAACTCTTTGAAGTTAAGTTCCCTCAATGTGATGGTGGGAACATTATCAATAGACAGCTCTAGGGTTTTGTAGAGATTGAATGGCCATAATACCTGGGATATACTAGGTTTGTTCAAAAAATAAAAGACAGCTGCAGGTATGTAATGATGGTGCCAATCAAGTTTCCTCCCTGATTGATGACAGGGGCATCCTTGTCACAGGACATCTATGTAAAGCAACATTGGCTGAGGATGAAATTCTAGATGAAGATGCAAGAGGAGATAAGACTTTGAAAGTGTTTTTTAAGAAAAGTAAGTGCCATGTGTCACTGAAACACCAAGGACACAATCCAGTTTCCTTTCCTAAGATTTGCTATCTTTTGGATCATTTTTTCTTACACATTATCACAGGTAAAATTCTAGCAATGAAAATCTCCAAGAAAAAAATTTCTAATTCTAAAACGAAAAGCTCTCCAATCTCAAGAAAATCCAATCGACTGACATCATCAGACCCAGGTCAATAACAAAAGATGAGCAGCACAGTCCAGAGCTTAACCAGAACCAATGCATGGCTAAAACCCGGGCACGTGAACGTCTAGGTCTTATTTTGGAGAGGGAAAAAACAGGGTGGACATTGCGATAACTCTGGAATTATCAGGAGGGTGGGTCCAGCTTGGCCAAACCAGAAAAAACCTACAGTTTTCTTCTCCTAAAGGAGAACAGTGGCTCCTTGGCTCCTGTTAGTTGTGCTGACTGTACGATGCTAAGTAAAATTTTTAGACAGAAGTGGAACAAAGAGCAAAAAATAACCCTTGGAGATGCCTGAAGTCACTCACACCACACACTGTAAGTAAAAATAGTGTAAATGACCCTGAAGCACAGAAACCCATAAATTTGAGACAAATCACCAATTTTAACTCAAAATGGTAGATTCTACTATTGCTGGAGTTTTCTGACACATGGGTCAAAAAAAAAAAAAATGAGAACTTTAAATTACGTAAGTTTAAAATATTTTCTACATAGACATTACAAGATGAAGTGTTTTCTAAGGGGAAAAACTTAATCTTCAGGTTCTGAAGTCTTCTATTTGGCATTTCTACATTCCCAGAGAAGTGTTTGCCCTTAAAAATACTGAGACCCTCCAGTTAAATCCATCTGCTAACAGGTAAGCAAATCACTAAATATTCCACAAAAACCTAAAAGTGGAGGAATGAAGATCTGGCAGATGGGGCTTCCTGTTGAAATGTGGTACCTCCTAATGCCTTTTCCACCCAACCCTTGGACTATCCATGAAATACCATCTCAGTGTCACATTTTCTAAATAAATCAGAGATCCATGTAGAAATCTGTAAATAGGAAATAAGTGATGTATTCCACAGGGCATGTAAACTACTAATTAAATGCAAATGATTGATACTTAAGAAAGCCACCTGATCTTAGAACAATGACTTTCAAAGGTAAAACAATAGGAAAAAATAATTACCCTAAAATGTTCCTCTTCATATGTGTGTTACCTAACTATAAGCTCACACATACTGGAGAGTTTTTAAATTGTCAGTAACCTAAGACAGTGTAACATGCATAGCAACTATACTACTGCATGACCTTTAGGAAAAGTATACAACTATTAATACGTTTTCAGTTTTCAGTAGTGAATGACTGTTTTATGTCCAGAATTGTGTATCTGTGTGTGCTCTTACTTGATCCTCCTAGCATCACTGTTTGGATCATTAACCTTGAGCTACAGACACAGGGACTGGAGCTAAGAGAAGTGACATCTACCTGGAGGCTTGGCCAGGAGCAGGGCTATTCAAACAAATCTGTTGATTCCAATACCTCTGCCCTTAGGAAAGCACATAGATGGGGGTGAAGGGTATTCAGAGTCAAACAGACCAGCATTTGAATCATGCCTTTGTCATGGTTTGGGGTCAGACTCTGCCTATATATTTAGGGGCTATATGAAGAAAAAGTACCTCCTGGGGTTAATACAAAAGTTAACATACCCACAGTCATTGGCAAGTTGACAGTGTACTTCCTGATTAGGTTTTTCACCTCTAGTACCACTGCAGCAATTCTCTATAAACCTAGACAGGAGGGACACCTGAGAAGGGCAGCTGGCACCATATCTAATAGACTGAATGACTGAACTGGTAAAGCAACATGGTAAATTAAAAAGGACCCAGCCGAATCCTTTTCCTGCATAGTTAAGAAAACCATGGGCCAGAAAATGGATGATCAAACAACTGTTTGGTGGCACGGCACAGCATCAACTGGAGCACAGCTCCTTCCCACCCTGAGTCAGTGGCCCCTGTACTCTTTCACTCAGCAGCTCCTTTTGCAAAAGAGAGTTAAAAGCCTTAGACAGCTCCTGGGAATGACTGGGAACCAACCTGAATAGGAAGTGTCTGGCTGGTGGCACCTTTAAGAGCCTCAACCAATCTCTGTGGGGGAGATACTGTTTCAGAGCCCAACACCTGTGTATAAATACATGGGGGCTAAAAGGGACAAAATGAAGACAAAACTACACACACCAAGTATGTACACAAAACTGCATCTAAAAACACGTACACGCCAGGGGTCAGTTTCACAGGTGGAAGAACCTTGCTGAGCATGTAGTGTAGCCAGTCCCACTTGCCATTTTACAGAAGACACATGAAGCCCCAACTGGGTTGAGCGACTGCAGTAAGAACAGTAAGTATGCGCTGTTCAGACCAGGATCTGCACCTAGTGCCTGACATCTGTCCATTCTGCACTCCTCCCCTCCTATTGGCTTGCTATAAACAGAGTTGAGGATTACAAAGTGAATCAAGTTACACCTGAGTCAGAAATGCAAGAATGATGTTATGTCTTTCACAAAAAAAAAAGGGGGGGAGGACACTGTAGACACAGAAAATGACAAGTGGAAGCAGCTAGAGACTTGCCTTCCCTTTCTTCTGTGAATCTTTAATGGATGGGCATTTGTTCTAAAGGCCTTAAGACATCCATGCAATTCCTATCCCTTTCACTTTAGAAGTGGTATAAAACACCATTCAGCATGATGAAAGGCAATCATCTCTACAATGGCCTCTTTGTATTCATTCCTTAATGAAATAAATTAATGTGTCTGTTTCAGGAAATCAATGAATACTTGTAGATAAAATTGAGACCATTAATACCAATGTGTGCCGAGTACTCCAAACACAACCTGTGCACACAATGGCTTCGGGTTTGAATGCTTTCCATAATCTGCAAACACGGGCTTCTTTTGGTTCACCAACAAATATTTGCTGATCACCTACTATGGGTCAGGTCCTGTGCAGATACCTGGATAAATATGGGTGAATTAAACTGGTACAGTTCTTGCCTTGATAGAGCTCAGAGTCCAGAAAGGGCTTGGAGAGCAGGAATGGTAGAGGAAGTTATAAAGTTTTGTAGGAGCCATGGGGATTTTAGTAAGCACCCTAACAGGGGAGGTGAGGGATGATAGCTCTGAAATAGTAACAGTAAACTGAGACCTTCAAGGTGGTTGAGAAACAAGATGTAAAGAAGGGGGATACTGAGAACACTGGAGGTATGTCTTTTGCCCAGGTATTAGGTGATCCAAGACCCATTATTCTGACTTCTCTTAGGCTGAAAACAGAAGTTTGCTTTCAAGCATAGAGTAATGGTGTGAAAGAGAGAAATGCATTGCAGAGCTGGAAGTACCAGCATTGATACTACTAAGTACCAGTGAACATTCAGTGAACACTGGCTGTGTGCCACTTCTATTAAGATGAATCATTTAATCCTTGAATCACTTAATCCTCATAACAATTCTTACATATTTATTAAATCAGATCTCTGGTGTACAATTTTGGATTAATCAGAAGCCTTAGGTTCGTGACACTTCTAACGACTGAGCCAAACAAGAGCTTGACCTGCCTTGACTCAGTTTTTTTTTAACTTAGTTACTATTAATAATATAATAGGCACCCAATAATCTACCACCAGCAAGACAAACATTAGGAGGTTGAGGATAACCTCTGATGCTAGCCACAGGACCCCTCCATTCAGGATAACCATTGTCCTAAATCCTATGCTCTTGCTCATTTTTAAATATAGTTTTGTTGTGCCAACCTACTTTTGTTAAAAATACACTGTTTAAGTGTTTGTGTTTTTGTATAAAAAGATTACTGAGTAAATGTAACTTTTCTGACTTGCTTTTTTGCACCTAAGACTTGTGGGCATTGTTCTGCATCATTATAACTCATTCATTGTGATTCTTGTATAATTTATTTTTTGATTCTTGTGGAATTTATTTATTCATTTCCTCTGTGGGGGGAAATCTGGGTTGCTTCCAGGTTGCTGCTATTGTATATAGTGCTGCTATGAATATTCATACCCATGTGCACATTCATATTGCACACAAACAAGGTAACTCTCTGGGCCCAGGAGTTGATATTGCTGGGATCCAGGGTATGTGAGTTTTCTGCTTTAGAAGGTAAAGCATCCCAGAGCACATCACTAACATTTCCACAAACAGTGTATACAAGATCCTGTAGACAAACCTGACACTTAAAGCTGTAGGCTTCATTTTTGCCATCAGAAAAGGCATAAGATAGTAACTGTTTTCATTTGCATCTTCACAAACTCCAAAGATGTGGAACATCTCTGTACATGCAGGCTCCTGTGTGTACTAGTCTAAGAAATGCCTGTCCATTCTCCTGCTGCTGCTTCTGCTGTGCATTTTGGTCTTCTCATGGAAAATAATTATTTTGTGGTACGGGACAGGGGTATCAGGGAATGAACCCAGGGGGCACTTAACCACTAAGCCCCATCTCTAGTCTTTTTTTTTTTTTTTTTTTTGAGACAGGGTCTCACTAAGTTGCTCAGGGTGGCTATAAACCTGTGATCCTCCTGCCTCAGCCTCCTGAGTCTCTGGGGTTACAGACACACGCTACCATGTCCAGCAATGATTCTTGTATATTTTTATTCTAATGCTCTGTCAGTTCTATGTATTGTAATAGCCTCTTCTTATGTGCAATCTGTCTTTTCACTTTAAGTTCTTTTACTAAACAAAAGCTATCTTTATAAAATTCACCCATCTTCTAGTAAATGCCTTTTATAGTCATAATTAAGAAACCCTTCCTTATCTGAGGGTCTGTGGCATTTTCTAATAAGAATTTTAACATTTTGGTTTAGATTTTTAAGTTTTCAATCAACTCAGAGTTGACTTTTTTGTTGGTGGTGGTTTAATTTATCACTGGTTGACATCCAGCAACACTGATGTTCCCCACTGGGCCTGTGGCCCCCAGCAAGTCTGACCTGTCCAATAAACTGCAGCACAGAAAGGGCTGGCTACACACATACACACACACACACACACTTTCACTATAGTGATTCCAAACTGCACTCGCAACAGTGCTACCAGGGAAGAAGTGCAGAGCAACTTTTAAAATATGGTATAAAATACAGACCCTTTAATCCTTTTCCTTGTAGATGGACTGTCCCCAGCTCTACTTACTCACCTCCATCATATACTAGGTTGCTATTTTACTGTGCTGGTGAGTTTATCTACTTCTACAGCTAATGTCACTCATCCTAATCACCACAGCCTCACAAGCCCTGATGACTAGTGAGACAGTATTGTGTCTCAGTTTCTTCTCTGTCCATTTATTTGCACAAAAACTGAAGAGTCGCCAAGTTTCATGAAAAATTCTCTTCTTATCTATAGATTAATTTAGGAGGATCTACAACCATTCTGGTGTTGAGTCTTCACATTCTTGGATCTAATATTTCCTTCCATCTGAGTAGGTCTTCTTTAATACGTATTTTAATTTTATTTGTAAATCTTAAACATCTTTTATTATTTTTATGTGCATCATAGTCATTGATATTATATAAATAGGAACTCATTTATGTGCATTTTTCATAGTTGCATTTTTATATACAAACTACAAACTTTTGTATCTGAAACTTTCCTATTCTAATTTATGTGTAATTTTTTTTTAATATAAAGAATTACATCATCCAACAACATTCTCAATTTACAGGTGAGAAAACTGACACACCTACGGATAAAATACTGAAATCAGGTCCTTAAAGAGATATCTAGACTCCATCTGTTTACTGCAGTATTATTTACAATAGCCAAGAAGACGAAAACTATCTACTCACAATGAATACACAAAGACAATAAAAAGTGAAATGTTATCATATTCTACAATGCAGATAAACCTTGAAAACATTATTTTAAATGAAACAAGCCAGTCACAGATGGATACATGTTGCCTAATTCCACTTACATGAGAGCCTAACGGCAAGCTACTAGGGACAAGAAAGTAAGGCTGCATCCAATGAGTATAAAGTTGACACACAGCCATACAAAATAAAAAGTTGTAGAGATCCATGTACAATACTGTGCTTATAATTAACAGTAGTGTACACGTAAGTATTAAGAGGATAAGTCTTGCATGGTTTGCCCATTTGAAAAGAAAAAGGTTAAATAAATTGGTCATAAAAACACAGCCAGTAATTGGTAGAACTGAGATATAGATATAGGCAGTATGAACTCAAAAAATCATTATGTTATACTTCTTGCTATCATGTATGTGGAAGACCATACTTAAATATGAAAATAAAATTTCACTTATTTCCTCTTCTTACATTGAGGAGTTTCGATCTGATATATTCACACTGTAAGAATACTGTTATATATAAGGCTGCATATGTAACAAATTACTTGAAAACAAAAATCAAATATTTAATTCTTTATATTTACCAAACTTAATGTTTCTTACTTGTACCAAATTCCTACTGCTTTCATTAATGGATGAAATAATTTTAAAAATCCTAATGTCAGACAATATGACTTTTCTTTCCATCAAAGTCAGGACTTTGTGAATATTTAAATTAACGGTTAGGTGTTGTCACAGGCTTGACAAGCAACACTCAATCCCCAAGGGTAAGGAGACAAGCAGTGCAGTCAGGTACTTGGTTGTGAAGTGATTCAAAACCTGACATGTCCTGGTGAACTGTCTGAGGGACAGGCATTAGGTTTATCTCTAATTAGTTAAAGAAAAGGCTTCAAAGAAACGTGTTTCTTCTCACTTAATGAAACATGAAATTATTTTCTAAGAACAGCATTTTTTCTGTCTCAGTGTTTCACTCTGACTTACTGCTTGGCAGACGCTGGCATTTCTGGTTTGGGTTATTCCTCCCACGAAGACCACACAGGTCAGAAAAATATGAAAGCACAAGTTCACGAGCATGTGCCAGCTCTTGAGGCTGATCCTGATCAAACTGTTTCAAAAAAGGTAAAATATTAACATTCAGCCTGACACGGTCAAGCAGGGCAGCATAATGTTCATCCGTAAGTTAATTTCAATTGTAAAGCTCAAACTTAACATGTATTATGTTTAAGCATTTAATAAATCAAACATACTCTCATACACATACACACAGAGAATCTAAGAAATCATTTAACTCTATAGTTTAACACTTAACTTTATGCATTAAAAAACAAATCCATTTATGCAAACACTGCACCCATTAAAAGCTAAGCGATTCTGCCCAATAAGAAACATGAGCATTCGCTATTTATGGTGTCTTAAGCTGACTGGATTACCTGGTTGGCTCCCTAGAGATTTCTGCAGTGTGCCAGTGGGTCTTCTTCCTGACCAACTAGGATAAATGCATGGCCCACTGCATTTCTTCCTGGCCTTTCATAATGAAATGTCGGAGTCTTTCTTTCTTTTCCCCACATCAAAATCTCCTTTTGTTTCTTAACTAAATGTCAAGAAATGCCATATATGTCCAGCTTAAATAGGAAAATATGTTCCAGCAAAACCTTTTGTAAAGTGAATTTTTAGCTTCACAAATCCTTTTAGTTCATTATTTCAACCATAAAATAGAAGTTTCTGTAGCTTTCTCTCCAATTAACAAAAACTGTATCCCATGTTTAAATGCCACAAACTTTCCTAAAAATGCCACCTATTAAAAAAAAATCACAACAGGCAAAAAGCATCAAATACAAGTGGTGACAGAGTCCACCACCTAAAGATACATGTACAGGTACCTGTACAGGTAACCGCACCCACCCCAGGCTCCAACACATACCCCCATGTCCTTTTCTAGACACAAGCACAGCAAACTGACTGGATGCTATGAAGGTGAACTTACCATTCCATGACTCACTCTTCATGTCTTCAATGGCATGAAATGAAAAAGGCCCCCATGAATTCTACAGTAAGCACCGGGACTTGGGAAGGACCACATGGTGTTCAAATTAAACAGAAACAAGTCCTCCAAAGCAAAGTCCACGGATCAAAATAGGTAAGAGCATCTCTTACCTATGATGGTGCACGTAGCTGACCATGACGGCCAAGAGACACAAGAGGAGGATGATGGCAGTGGTGTAAACCACAGGATGCAAGAGACTGGCTGCCTGGGTGTACAGCTCGGATCCTGTCAAGTCCTGAGGGGAAAAGCAGAGAATCATGCGAGTGGCTCTTTCATGGACATTTAACCATGGGGACTTTCCTGAGGGACTGAGAAAGTTCAACATACACTTTGGCCCGTGCATCTCTGTGGTATGCAAGGCCTGATGTCTCCTGCTACCATCTTCACACATGTGTCTGCTTTCCCCAGTTCCACTGCGAACTACTTGTGGCGTACACCTGTCTGACCCAGGTCGTCTACCTCTTCAGTGTGAACTCTGCTCCGCCATGAGGGTGATGGATAGAGAAGTGCAGCCCACATGCAGGTGACCCAGAAGGGCAATCAGACTTCACTCTCTTTAATGCCCACTCAGCCCATCTGCAGATTCACAAGCTGAGGAAGCACAACAAAGATCAGCCTTCACAGTCAGCAAAGCCCAAATTGATCCCTGTAACTACTGGAAGTCAAGTCAACCTCATGATCCACAATACGAAGAGACTCGACGTGGTGAAAGGGACTACAGACAAGACGGAAAGACGTGGTTCCTGCCCCTTCAGAGCTCAAAGCCACAGGGGAGACAGACAGACAATCAGATCCAGACAGTGTATGATGGAGATGTAAGTACAGTTATAGGAGCAGAGAAGAGCCCTGTAAGAGTTCCCCCCAAAAAAGGTAACAGTGAGTCACTTACACAGTATTTACCATAATCCAGACGCTGACTATGTCCATCGCTCTACAGAGTAACCTTATGGGGTAGGTTTATGGTTAGTTCCATTTTATACCTTGGAAAACTGAGGCCCAAAGAAGATAAGTGTCAAGAGTATTAGATCCAAAGGAAGATGACTGCCAGTTCTATCCCCAAACCCAACGCTGACACTGACTTGCTAAAATGAAAATGACAAGATGCCTTAATTGCTGCCTTCCTTACTGGGAAGATATCCCCCCGTCTGGCTGTGTGCTATGGTTTGGGTCTGGAATGTCCCTGAAAAAACCTCATGTGTTGAAAGCCCAGCCCCCAAGCTGACAAGATTCAGAGGTGGGGCTTTTAGGAATTGACTGAATCAGGAGGGTTATACTCTCATCAGTGGATTAATCCATTTGATAGATTAATAATTCGAATGGACTATTCAGGGGTAAGTGTAGGCAGGTGGTGTGGGGTGGGAGGAAGCAGGTCATTGTGGATGTACCCTGGACCATATCTGCCCCTGGTCCCTTCCTGCCTCTCCCTGCTTCCCAGCTACCAAATGCTGAGCGGTTTTCCTCCACCACGCCCTTCCACCATGATGTACCGCCTTACCTCAGGGTCAGATCAATGGAGCCAGCCAACCATGGACCCACAGCTCCAAAGCTCTGAAACTGTGAGCCAAACCAGCCTGATTTCCTCCTGTAAGTTGTTCCTGTCAGGTATTTTGGTCACGGTGATAAAAATCTGATTACTGCCCAGTGGGAAAACTAGGTTACAGAAGTGAAAGCTACGATTCCGCAAACCCCTTCACTCCACTCTCCTGCACTGACTCCTAGAGCTAACAATCACGGCTGGATGTGGGGAGAGGTTCCTAAAGGTGTATGTGCAGTGAAGAAGCACTTGACATAATATAGGAAGGGAACAGGGGAAGAAGCCACCAACAGAGTAGGGAAAGAATGGATGAATTTCCCAGGGAAGAAATGGAGCTGATGATACAAAATTATACACGGACAAAGACCCTATCGGAACACCCTAACAAACCCCTCACTGAAACAAAAGATGAAGAGTTAATGACAAAAAACTGACAGAAATCCCAGTTAATGGACAACCAGAACACAGGAAATGAAATTCAAACCTGTGTGCGTTCCTACACCCTAAAAAGTCTCAGCTGCAACCTACTTATTCACTCAACTCAACGAGCACCTACCATGCCAGCCACCGTGACGCGCAGAGGCAAAACAGTCTCAGAGGACTGACAGTGTGGACTAAGCACACAAAAGGGAAACACCAGAGAAAGCCTATCACAAACAATTCCAAACCACCTGCCCTGTGAGGCACCCACAGTACCTGTCCACACACGTGGCCTCAAGGCATTCACAATCTGTTAACAGTCAGAATATAAAGAGTAGGAAGATTTTTTTTAGAGTTGGGACAATAAAAACCAGTTAGATGCTATTAAGAGTAGACATGTTTCCCCTCGATTTCTCTGAAAAACTACCATGCCACTGTAGAATAATTGAGGATAAACTTGCAATATCTAGGATTTAGTCTACAGACTCTTTTCATGCTCTGCCTGCTTTAGATTTCTGGAGGAAATGTTCAACAACACACTGCCACTGGATACCTATAGGATCTGGGGATATTGCTTCACTGTAAAATGCAGACATGCAAAATGCAGACACGCCAATCATCTTGCAGGGCCTGGGAGGGGGCAGAAGGAGGGCATGTAAAGATGCCTTCCACAGTCTTTGGTAGAGGGTAACAAAACATGAGGAGTAAGATATTAGCAAATAAAACAGGAGACAGTGTTGATTTAATTCCCAAGATACACTGTATATACTACTCAAGTTTAAAAGACTCAAGTTTGGTATATTTCAAAAGCTAAATGCATGTGACATACAAAGAGAAAGAGACTGGATCTTGAAACAGAATGCAAAAATGCTTAAAATACCAAGGAAAAACTAAAGGAAGGCATAAGCAAGCACCTCTGTGCTGGGTCACAGAAGACACTGCTCCCATGGGCACATTTTCAGCTGCCTAAATGCAAAGAGAGCACCTGCCAAAACAGACCTAAGGAGACAAAATATGAAGGGCCAGATATTTTAGGCTTTGCACACCAAGGGGCAAACTGAAGCTATCACACAGACATTCATTAACTATTCACAATGAGAACACCAAAACTTAACAGATACTTCTCAAAAGTAAGAAATACAAATAGCCAACAAATACATGAAAAAAATGTTCAACATCATTAGCCATTAGGGAAATGTAAATCAAAACTATACCAAGATTTCATCTCACATCAATCAGAATGACAGTCATCAAGAATACAAATAATAATGCTTGAGAGGATATGGAGAAAAAAAGAACACATTTTATAATGTCCACGGGGCTGTAGATTAGTACAAGCACTACGGAAATCAGTATGGAAGTTCCTCAAAAGACTAGGTATAGAACCACCAGATGACACAGCTATCTCTCTTTCTCAGTATTTATCCTGAAGAATTAAAGTCATCTTAGACTGTAATGCATACATATCCATGTTTCTAGCAGTACAAATCACAATAGCCAAACTATGGAGCCAGTTTAGGTATCCATCAATGAATGAACGGATAAAGAAAATATATACACAATGGAGTTTATTCAGCAATTAAAAAAAAAATATATGGCATTTGTAGGAAAATGGATGGAACTACAGGCCATTATGTTAAGCAAAATTAAGTCAAACTCAGAAGGTTATGAGTTGTATGTTTGCTCTCATATACAGAAACCAGAGAGGATAAATGGAAAACAAAGGTGGGGATCTCCAAAAAAATCAAAAGGTCATTAAAGGAGAGGGACCAAAGGGTGGAAGTAGGGGAGGGAGGAGGGAAGTACTGGAGAGTGACATTGGTCAAATTATACTGTTATACTGTATGCACGTATGAATACAAAACAACAAACACCATCATTATATACAACTGTAATGCACCAATAAAGAAAAAGGATGGAGGGTGGGGAGAAAAATTTAAGAACCATTCTTTGCTTTTCAGCCTTAAAGAGAAAGGGAAAAAAAGAAAAAGTACACACACACACACACACACACACACACAGAACCTGGCTGGATTGAACAATGGGACAAAATATAAGACTCCTTCAGACAGCTGAGGAAATTAGGATATTGTGATATCAAACAAGTTAGAGATCTACAGGGAGAGATAAAGCAGAAATCTGAATCAAATTATTTTTAATTATAGTAATAAAAACATAGGTTTCATAATAATCATAAAAAATTACTAAATACACTATTTTAAAAATGACACTAAGAGAATATTAGGAGAAAAGTAAAACTACAGTTTGCATTGGCGACCTGGCAATTAGTGAGACAAAAGTCCCTGCCCCAAATGCTCACATGAAGGCAGGCTGTGACAATCAGTGATCTTGGTCACACTTCTATAGGGCACAAAATTAAAGGAGAAAATAGGCAGGAAGTTAAAAACTAACAATGCACACAGAAGTTAACTTTACTGATGCAGAGAAAACCAAAATGGCCTAGAGTGTGGGAAGTCACAAAGACCAGAATTACTAAGGCCCCAAATGAAGGGGAGGAGAGTACATGACAGACAGAGCAGCGAGAGGTCCTTACAAGAGGTCCTTCAAGCCCAAGGATTGCTAAATATAAAACTATGGAAGTATTTAATAATTCATTATCATCATACCAATAACAAGAATAATTAAAATCAGGAATTAAATTTCCCAGGGTCGAACAAGAGGGTGCAATCCAAAGAAAACATCTCAAGTCACCTCAGTGTGTTAGAAACAGCAACCTATAACGAGACCTGAACAACACGATTAAATAAAAAGTAGATCTAAAATCAGAAGTATTAAAAAAACCAAAACCCAAAACAGACCATGACTTGTATGCTTCTTTTTCATTTGCTTTTCAAGAACAGAGAATAATTTTAAGATTGTTTTCCTCCTTGCCTCATACAACACACAAAATCAGTTGCAATCCAACTATAGATCTAAATGTGAAAGGTTAAATACCCCAGAACTCCTTGAAGAAAACAAAGGAGAGATCCTCATAACTGTGGGACAGGCTAAGATTTCTTAATTGGGACATTAAAAAAACTACTACTACTACTACTACTACTACTACAAAAAACAAACAAACAAACAAAAAACAAACCCAAAACTAAGAAATCAGACTTCAGAAAAATTAAGAAACTGTTCATTAAAAGACTGTTAAGAGAGAGAGGGCATGTCTGCAATGCTTAATCCAGCAGAGGAGACTTTACACTCAGAACCCACATCAAGAATTCCTCCAAAACTCCAATTAAAAGTCAGCAAACCTTTGTAGAAGCTTCACCAAGAAACACCCAACTATCAATAAGGAAACCTCTCCAGTCATCAGAGATACAAATCAGGGTTACAATGACATCACCACCACCAAAAAACACTGAAATTAAAGACTGACAATACCAAGAATCTGTGAAAAGGTAGAGCAATTGCAACATTCATTGCTGCCACTGGTATAAACCAACAGGACCACTCAGTCCTGCTGCCATCAGGTGGCACTAGCTACTAAAGCCGAACACCTGGAGAGCCATTCCACTCCTGAGCATGCATGTCCACTAAAAGACATGTATGTGAATAATCAGGGAATGTGATATGTATGTGATAACCAAATTTCACTGGCGATAAAATGGAAAAACTGGTACATTCAATGAACTACGACCTAGCAATGGAAGAGAATAAACTGCTACTACATGCAAAGACAAAGATAAATCTCATTGTTGTAATAAGACAAACAGAGGACAAGCTGTAGCTCCAATTATATGAAAGATAAGAACATGGAATATATTTGCTCGTAAGTTTTAGCCAGACACCAGAGGGTAGGCACCTCTTGAGATGATGGTAGGAACTGAATGGAAAGAGACACAGGGGCTACTGAGTGCTGAGGTACAAACCTTGATGCCGGTGGTAGCTAAATGTGTGCATTGCATGTAAATCTGTCACTAATCCATACGCTTAAGATCAGTGTGCTTTACTTCAATTTGGAAAAAAAAAGGAAGAAAGAGTTGGCCCCTTCAATGATTAATTTCACTGTGGAGAGATTTATCCTGCAGAAATCCTATTAAATATGTAAAATGGTATCACACAAGCAAACACATAGAGAAATATCTGAAGTAAATTATGGGACAAATTGGGCTGGGGATGTAGGTCAAGCGGTAGCGTGCTCACCTGGCATGTGCGGGGTGCTGGGTTCGATCCTCAACACCACATAAAAATAAAAATAAAAAATAAAGATATTGTGTCCACCTAAAAAAAAACTATAAAATAATGTTTAAAAAATTATGGGATAAATTAATATTCAGAGATAAAGAAAAGAATGAGGAAACTTTTTTATAGTGACATGAGATTTGAGAAATGACATTTAGCAAAGGGTTTAGAAACACAGATTCTGGAACAAGGAGTTCAAATGCTTATTTTAACACAAACTAGCTTTGCAGACATGCTAAGGGGTATAAACTAACAGGACCATTTGGTTACCCTACTTTCTGTTCAGTATTTTTTCTTAACCTCTTGGTGCCTCAGTTTACACACTTGTAAACTGTGGTAATTACTACATAGGATTCACTGCAGTGAATGCCATTCTTGAAGAAGTTGTTTTGAGGACCAAATAAATTAATGCATACAAAGATATCACCTGATATGTTAAGTGGTTAATGAAGATGAACTACCACCTCCATTATCAACCTTTAGATAACTATATGTCATAAATTTATGATATATAGTTCTGCCAGGCGCAGTGGTACATGCCTGTAATCTCAGTGGCTTGAGAGGCTGAGGCAGGAGGACTGAAACTTCAAGGTCAGCCTCAGCAACTTAGCAATGCCCTGAGCAACTTAGTGGACCCTATCTCAAAATAAAAAACAAAAAAGACTGGAGATGCAGTTCAGTGGTAAAGCACCCTTGGGTTAAAATATTCACTACTATATATATATATTTTATATAAAAATATATATATATTTATATATTTTATATAAAATATATATATATTTTTTTTTCCATGAAAAAAAGTGTATACAGCAGAGCACTATTATTACAAAATGTTCACTGAAGAATAATGTAGGTAGCATGCATCTTTTGGGAGAAAATGGGAGCTCCATGGTACTCCATGGTACTGGGCTTGCCTAGCATGTGTAAGACTGTAGGCTAAATCTCCCACACTAAACAATTGAAACAAAAACATTACTAGCATCCATGGTTGATTATAGAGTAAATGAAACAGAAGTTTACTTTCGTTCAGCATGTTTCATATAAACATACTAAAAGCATCACAAGACAGAGGAAAATGAATGACTACTCTCTAGTCTGTTGTATCTGGTTGAACAGTAACAAGAGGTAAACCAAGACACGGGGATTACTGTATCTTCACTGCTATTACTGGTCAGGGTGTTAAGTCCTACACAGATTGACTGTAATCATTACCCTACTTTCTGTTCAGCATTTCTTTTCCTGACTGATCCCAGAGCCTGTGAATCTTCTTGCTCAGAAAGGTAACTTCTGATCACATCAGTCAAACAACCCCAGTTTCCACTTAACTTTTTCCTTTGGCTCTCACTGAGAGGAGCTATCTTGTCTATCTGTGTCTATTCTAGATTTATGAGTAAACATATTCCTTATATCTGATTTTCTTGCTCTCAAATCAGATCAGGAAAAGTTATATGGACTATCTCCCAAGATAGGGATTTAGACTTCTACATAAAATGATATATTTAAGATAGCATTCAAGAAATACCGAATTTTATTATTTAAAGTTTAGAAGAAAAAAAGATTATTTCCTACTTTTTAAGATAATTATTTTTGCAAATAACTTTAATTACTTTAGAGGGGTTATAATTTCACTAACTTTGCCTCCATATTTAACTAGCACCTCTAAAATTCCCATACACTCACTAACTTTATTATAACTTTGTCAACAATTTCAGATGCACTTCACTTTTCTGCCTCTAGGTGGCACAGTTACCTCTAAGAAAAGGAAGAGGATATTTGAAAATAAATAGAAAAAAATCTTAGTACTGTATTTTAGCTTTAAATAATTGTCTTACATTTTAAAAGATTAAAAGTCTGAAAGATAAAAGAATAGCTTATTCCTTCTAGAAAAGGATTATATTAATTTAAATAATTGAGAAGAACAGCTAGGAAGTTCAAAAATAGATGCTTTAAACTGGTATTAGATTAAATAAAAATAAAAGTTTCACAGTAGCAAAGTGAAGCTTAGAAAACGTCCATTTTTTTTTTTTTAAATTTTCTGTTTCATTTATTTTACTCAGTTCTTCCTGGTTAACATATACATTTAAGACAATCAGAGTTTCAGATTATCTTATACTCTAAACCCGAACTAGAAAGCACTTAAACTGAAAAACTATCTCACCCTTTAACTGATGCTTCATGCTTTAACTTAAAAGGTGCCTATAAAATAATAAAATGTGAACTTACAGAAGCCAGACTTGGTGCAATCAGACATCTTGCACTTGTGAAAAGAATCAGGAACTATCAACACTCACTTTAAGCCCAAGAGGAAGAACCCTTCAAGCAGATCCAGCTGCATCTAACTATGCAGACTCCAGCCACTGCCAACTGGGCACAAGAACGTACACGCTCAAGTACAGTTGTATAAACTCCTCACTGATTGAAAAGATAATCTATCTATTATTCACTTATGCTTGGCTGGTGTGCTGGACAAGGGAGAGGAAGTTGAGAAGCAAAGAAAATGAAAAAGTATTAAGCAAATTTTAATATAATCCAGGCTGGCTTTAAGATCATTTCTAGTAGAAAATCCTATTTTGTTATTTTTAAAAAACAAAAAACTCAGAAAACATCACATTTCAAGATTATGGAGTACTGATAAAATACTGTCTAGATTCCAGATTCACAGGTGAAATTAGATAAATATGTGGAAGCCCTCATCCCCTAGGCTAACCTCAAGCCATTTCTGAGAAATGTCTTTCAGACTTGTCAATAATTCCTTCCATTGAACTCTCAACACATTCCACGATATTAGTATCATATAATAATTACAGCATAAAATAACAACTAGCATGGTTAATTTCCTAATTATCTGCTCAGGAATCAGATCCAAATATCTCATTATTAAAAATACCTGCTCCTGTACACTAATATGTTACTTTAACCAAAAAGATTAATAGTTGTTAACTACAGTAAATAATAGCAAACAACATTAGATTGATTGGCATTAAAACTGAAAAGACACTATGTCAATACTGTCGCTTGTAGGTGCAAAACTCAAAGTATCACCATTCTGAATTCAAAAGGAGTTTAATGATGACTGTGTGTAGTGGCATTAGAGAGGCAAAGCAGGAAGCCCTTCTTTCACTGTGTGCATCCTATCCTTGAGCAGAGAAATCATTTTGGTTGACAGAGCTGGACTGCCTACACCCAGGATCTCTCTGGGTTGAGAAGGTCAAAGTCTAGCTGAACTCACAAAGTTCACTGGAAATTCCAAAGACTATTCCCATACCTTTCATTTGGCAGTAACTACATTTCACTTTAAAATGAGAATTACAACAAACATCACCCCTTACATAATTAAAGAAAGCAATTTATGTTAAAAATTTTAAAAAACCAAAAACTTTGTTTAGGCTTAATTATGTGCAGGAAGAAATTAGAATACTTAGTATTTATGCATAAAGTTAACAACTGCCATACCATTAAAACTGCGTAGTTACTGAGGGAGTAGCACTGAATTGTAGTGATATTTTCATCTGAGTAGAGTATACGGCACCCATCTGACTTCCAGCCTCCTTGTCCATTCAGCAAATCAAAATCCCACTGGGCTGCAATGGCATCTGTTCCATGTGCGATGCGACGCAGTGTCACATTAACAGGGACGTGGTGGGTATCTACATTCACACCATCTGGAGAAGATGGGAAATAACAATATTTTTGAAACAAACTTCATAAAGAACTAAATGTCAGTGTATACACTAATGGGTACTCTGCAAGATCTTTCTTTCGCTAGTGACTCATTAAAATGAGAAGGAACAAAAATAAGCAGTTTTTAGGAACACTGAACAATAAAGCCACACTGTCCAGTGAGCACAAGGTAGCATATGCCACATACGAACCTATCTTGGTGAGAATCACAGGGGTGACCACTGTGCGCCGCTTCCCATCGTCAGCCAAGTTGGTCGAATTTCCAGTGGCTGGAAAGAGCTTCCCATTACGGAATGCAATGAGCTGAAGCTTGTAGAGAGAGTCATCGGGTGATCTAACCTCTCTTTTTTGCTTTGGTGAGAAAAGGGAAGGAGGAAGCTGAATAGAAGCCTCCACAATAGTATTCTGAAGAAAAAAAAAAAATACATGAAAAAATAAACAAAAGCCAAAAAAAAAAAAAAAAATAGAAGTGAGGTTTCCATCTTCATAAGCAGAAAAGAGGAAAAGGTCAGATAGTTATGAAAGTCTTCTAAATACATGTTGAATTTTTTTAAAGTTGTATATCCAAAATCTCATAGTTACAACAACTGATAAGCTAAGCAAACCAAGGCAGCCCAGACCAAAAGAGCATAAAACACAGAGAAATGCAAACTCTATTTCAAAGAGTTTACGAAGTAAACAAGGGAATCATTTCAAATTACAAAGTTAATTTTCCCACAAGAGCACACATTGCTGAAGCAGAGAGCATTAAAACAGACCGAGGACCTCAGAGCCACTCCTCATGGCAATTTTGCCATGTATGGCAAAGTACAGTAAAAACAAAGAACAAGGTTGTGCACCTTGAATGTGAATGTAGCTAATTTAGGCTTATGGAACTTAAGGCGGTTTATGACAGACTCAAACACTCAAACAACAAAAGAATGACATTTACAAACATAAGTTTAAATTCAGCAAACTCTTCTTACAGCACCCCTTTTCTTGACTCTAAGATCATACTTGGAAAAACAAAGTAACGGATAAAAACAACTGAAGATGCTGACTGATTATGGAATGTTTTTCTGATTTCTTTATTGGGGATTTTAAACTATTCAGCATTCAATATAAAAAGCCCAGGCACCAAAGAGGCTAGCAATTAACTATCTTTTTAAAAATTCTCTATTTTAAAAATTTATTACCAAGTCTTTCTCTTGGCCACTGATCGCCCTCCCTCCAAACCAATGCTCAAAGCACCAACAGGATTTCCAGTTTAAACAGCACCTTGGCCTGCAAAGTCACCATACACTGCTCCCAAATCCCAAGTATGGCAAACAATGTGACCCAGACCTGCTGCTCAGGCCTCTTCCAGCACACTGATAACCCAGCCACAAACTTCTCCATTCAGAGCTCCCCTCTGCTCCCTGACTCTACTGGGCCTGAATGAACGAAATGCTCTCCTGTTCTAACAAACTCTTAAGTTTATCTGGTTTGATTTTTAGCAAGGTTAATTCTTGCTTAAGGGAGATGGGCGGCCAGGATCTACCCGGGACTTTACATGAGGTCCTTCACACTGGGCTTCTTTGGACGATGAAGCACGTCTTTTCAGGAAGTAGTCGGCTTTTATAGCTGGCCGCACCTGCTCTGAACTTGGAGCATTCTGTGCACATCCGTGTCACAACCAAGTACTGCAGATTCAGTGCGAACTTGTTCTCTGCTGCACGAGCCCATCTAGGAGGATTTCTGAGGACAGTAATGCTCATTTGTGGATCCCAACATTAATGCTTCCTGGCACTGGTATCTGATAAAAACAGCTGTTTATGGCATGAACAAAGTCAGGTTTGTTCTTTCAAAAAGGATTCCACTGAGGCAAATGATTGACTACAAAATTATTTTGCAACAACGTCAAGATGAGCAGATGTCTGTGTCTGTTGGAGAATATGTTTTATAAGTTTAAATATGATTTTTAAATTTAAAATGCCAAGAAAAATATTTGCCAGAAATATTTTGCCTAAGAAAAAACACAGAGGCTTCTAACAAATACATCCTGATGGAGGAAGAAAGTTTAATTATAAATTCATTTGCTAATCTAGTAAATTTCTATAAAGTATATAAATTTCTCTGAAGTATATAATGGGCATATGAAGAAGAAAAACAGATTAGAAGTTCAAAATCCTAATAAAATGTTACATAATGCATATTCATTAAAAATTAAGTACTCTAAATCATAAAATAGTTCTACTTGGTAATAAATTCTTAGAATAGACCACAAAATGACTTGAAAACAAAGCATAGTTATTGGAGAAAGAAATAATAATGATAAATTACAATTATTTTTAAAAAGTAATACCCAGCAGGTTCTAAAAGAAAGCTACAGAAGGAAAACATGCATACTTTCTATAAGACAAGAAAGGTCTTCTACACAAGTTTAACTTGCAAACCCAACCCCAAACAACAACAAAACAAATATTAATAGCTACATATCCATGGCTGTTATACACTTAAACGCTTTCTAAAATCTCTTTCCAAGTCCAATAAAGATATTACTAAACAATAATCATAGGTTCCCTGGAATGGAGAAAGGGGCCTCTATGGGTTTTTGATAAAGTGAACCTCACCTCTATCAATTATGTTTAGATTTTTATGGTAGGAATGTAAAACTGACACATTTCTTTTAAAAAAAGTCTTATAAATCTAATCAAAGAAAGAACACTTATTTAGTTTGTTATAGTTACTATGATTATACGAAAGTCTCTTGACCTAAAGGCATAGAACACAAAGTTTAATTTCATATAACTAAGTATACATTTATTTTTTAAATGTATGGATTACAATAATGAGGTAGGTATAACACAGGAACTACAGTTAATAAATAAAACATGACTGAAAGACCATGTGTCATGAGAAGAACTTGTGATCTGAAACATGATGGTGGGATCTGTGTCCCAGGGACACCATGTAGAAGCTCCACTTGGGCTAACCTGAGTCTCACCTGCTGAACACAGCTGAGTATCTAACAAATGGTGGTGAGGCCCAAGGGGACCCTGACTCTGACCAGCACCAAGGCTGTGGAATGGCGGATGGTATTCCTGTCATCATAACCTGGACAGGGTGGAAGAGGTGGAGACAGGAAATGCCTGGAAGTGATCAACTCGCCAATAAGGTGGACCTTCATCATGATCCAACGTCTACAATCTGGTTTAGTATTAACTTTAAAAATTGATGAAATAGGAACACATATGAAATGAATGTTACCACGGAGCTCTTCCTATTTGCTAAACTCATGTACAGTTTACTATTTTCAATGACATTAAGCTAAAAAGAAAATAAGTGATATCAAGGATGACAACTCAAACACAGAAATCCCTCTGCTGGATTTTACCATCTTTCCTTGAGAAAGAATCAGGATTTCCTCTACTTCATAATCGATACTTTAAAATTTGCAGAAATCTCATAAAAATTTTCAGAAATCTTATTAAAATCCATAGCATTCCATGACTAAAGTCAAATGGGTCAAAAACCATCAGATGCCAAACAATAATATACTAATTTACCCAAGTTTTTTTTTTTCTACTTACTCACTTTCAAACAATAGGTATTATGACCTATCTGAATCATTTTCTTGTGTGTAGCTACTAGGTATTAGCCGCCTATCACCTTTCAATTACCTCACTGCTATAGATTAACAGGGATTATGTTTGCCTTCAGAAAGTTTAGCTGACTTTCTTTGTTAATTAAGTCCACTGTTAATTGTATTCAACTGCAGCTGTTAGATGTTTAGCCACTCTGTGCCTGACACTGTGCAGAACCTAAAGACATACAATGAAAGAAGCTGTGGTCCTTGCCATCCAATATTCATATTCTAAAAAGATGACCAACAAGTACAAAACAATATGAGCCAATACTTATCGAGTGATTATTCTGTGCCAAGTACCCTTGTGAATGTCTGCACATTTACCTCATTAATCTTTTCAGTAACTCCTTAAGTACCATTACATAATCCCCCATGAAACAGATAAAGAACTGACATTCAGAAAGGTTAAGATACTTTTCCCAAGTTCGCACAGCTGTTAACGGGGGGGGGGGGGGGGGGGGGGGGCTGGAGAGACCACACTCTTAGTTGCCATGTTGTAGGCTTCACTATCAATCATTATGCTGCCTTAGACCTACTCTGGAGAATGAGCAAAGCCCCAGGGGATTCACAGGCAATGATTAGCTCTGCCTAGGGAAGAGAAAGAAGGCGTGAAAACAGCATGAAGACCCAGAATGACTGCTCTTAAAACTCACAGGACAGGACGTGGACAGGACGTGGACAGGACGAGAGCGCTCTTGGACGTGTAAAGAAAAACTGATTTCTCAATTCTGGTCAAGTAAATTAGGAAGAATCAGCGCCTGCTGGCTAGATTATAGCTGAGCTCAAACACTTGCTAACTGCTAAAAAGCCCTTGGCAGTTTACTGGAAAGACATGAGTTTATTACGTGAATTATGGAATCAACAATGAAAGGGATCATTTTGATAAGAAAAAAGTCAGAATAGATTTGACTGATGCTATTGGCAAGAGTCAAGGACCAGGCAACTCCACCTCCAATGGGAGACCACAAGGCGGGGCACTGGGTTCACCAGTGACCCAAGCATAGCTCTGTGACCCATGAGTGGCACATGATGACAGAGATGAGCAGCATTACTGAAAAGTGAGGAGAAACAGAGGACCCGCAGGTGAGGCAGGAGAAGACTGATCAGAGGGTGTCAGACTTCACGGAGGGGACATTTCTGAAGGGTCTTTAAACATAACCATGGAGCTAGGAAGGGAGGGGAGAAGCAGGGGACTCCAGGAGAAAAATCAGGGGGTGCCTGCACCCAACATGGATAGGCGGTTGGGAAAGGAAACAGAAGTCTGCTGTCACTGGGCAGAGGGAAGAGCAGGCAGGAGGAGATATGAGCAAGAGCACTAATGTGGAGTAAGTCACCCAGCAGACACCTCCGAGACGGATGTTATGAAGGGCTGACTAAGGCTGACTTCCCTTCCAGCCAGATCTGGAGACAATGCTCACAAATATCAACAACCTGAGATAGCACAGGCACTGTCAAAACAGGCTCCATGGAAGGGGACACTGTTAGGTGCCCTCTGCTCTGCAGGTACCAGCTGCAGGATGTGGGAAGGACGATCTCATGGTGGTCCTCACAGAGGGCCACAGGGCCAAGAGGCACTCAGGGGATGGGAGCACCCACTATTTGCTAAATGGTAAGAAGGTATTTCAGTATTTTATTTACCAAATGGCAGGGTTACATTGGCACATGCTGGCTGATTAATAGTACCCCCAGGTAGACAAACCTACACGAGTCATGGATTTGTATGGAATAGCCTATAGTACCAAAACCAAACAGGAATCTGCAATAGTTAGGGAATTTACGATAGTTTGGGCAATACAGGTGGAACTTGACTTAGGATGGGTCAACGTATAATTTTTCAACAAACATAAACACATTCAGCAGGAACCACACTTTGATTTTTGAGCTTTTTCCAGGTTAGTGACATGTGTTAGTGATATATTTTCTCACAACACAGGGCAGTAGCAAACCACAGCTCCCAGGCAGCCGTGAGCTCACAAGGCTAAACGACTGAGACTTGAGCATTCTGTGTTGCTAAACTATGGTGTCTGGGAGGTCAGGTGCCATCAATACATGTTCAACTTGGGATATTTTTAACCTTACAATGAGTTTGAATCTACAGAGGATGGGAGTCCAAATCTGGCTACGAGGGAGCCTTCAGGGAAGCAGAGAGTCAAAACATGCAGGAGGCAAATCACTTGAGACATCTACTGCCAACTCAAACATCCTCTTAAAAAATATTTAAAAAAATAAAAATATCTTCTTTATGGGTTTAACTTCATATGATCCATTTAAGGGTAATGTAATCAATTGCTGGATGTTCAAATTGTCTAGTTAGTATATTCAAGGGATTAAAAAAAGTATGCACAGGAAGAATAAAAACTGCTCTAGCATTAAAGTTTAAAATGTGAAGAAAGTCCTCTGTCAAAGCGCTAAAGCTTAAGTACATTTGGTGCTGCTGATGTTAAAACTGTTAACTAATTTTATTTCATGGAAGATATGTTCCTTTTTCATTCAGTGTAATGATGTCCATCTATGAAGCATGAATAATAATGTAGTGTGTTCTTGCTCTGGTCACAGGATGATCTTTAAAAGGACAGAACACGAAATTGGAAAATCTGAGAGTATTCATTTAAAGCTTTCTGCTTTAGAGGGCAGAAACCCTCCTTACACAGAGGTGTAGGCCGTGAAACCGACGAAACGTACAGTTTCATCATTTTTAATCCCTTTCTACCAGCCGTGATCATCTACGACACAAGGTTTATCACTTTTAAGGCTCCTCAAAAACACATGCCCTTGTGTGTGTTGCTATTCCTACGCCTTCTGTGGTTTATTTTTACCAATAAATGTTGCAACACAGAAAATTGAGCAGGTCTACAGTGCAAGGCTGGGTACATCAAGTATTCTCAGAGCCAAAAGTAGCAGAAGAAGCTTGCCCATTTTCCTGAGTATATGGTACCAAAGAAATATAATATTATCAGACTTGTTGAGGTTATCTTGGTGAGTTGTGATATTTCTAAATTTGGCAAATGAGCTCTCTTTATGGAAGTCACCAGGGTAAAGTTTGACAGAATACACTGATTATGCATTCATCCATTCACACTTACTAGGCACCTACAGTATACCAGAATATATTTGATTGATTTTTGTACAGCCATTAAAATGACTAGAAATGGGAGCAGTGGTGCACGCCTGTAATCCCAGTGGCTCAGGAGGCTGAGGCAGAAGGATTATGAGTTCAAAGCCAGCCTCAGCAAAAGTGAAGGGCTAAGCAACTCAACGAGACCCTGCTCTAAATATAATACAAAATACAGCTGGGGATGGGGCTCAGTGCTCTAGTGCCCCCGAGTTCAATCCCTGGTACCCAAAACAAAATGACTAGAATACTGTTTATAATGCCAGTCAGGAACAAACCAGAAAAGAAGTTCTGAGTAATTAAAAATCACAGAGAATATAATAGCACATGACCATACAAAGCTAAATGAAAATGTTGCTCCATTAGGGAACTGAACTTCTGCCTCCAGCTACTTAATTCAATGTGGCTTAGTGAAACACACCTATATGCCCAATTTCAAAAAGAAATCAATAAAAATGAGATATTGAGATATATGTAGATATAGATTATACACACACACACACACACACACACACACACACACACTTCTTTGCCAAAAATCTTGATATTCACCTTGCTGATTAAATGCCTGGCCTCAAGGCTGACTTCCCTGTTAGGCACAATGGTAAGGACCCACAATATTTGTAGGGGCCCATAAAAATGTTTTAGTGTCTTAATATGAGGATCAAAACAAAAACACTTTTAGGTAAAAGAAATTGTTTTAATATATAATATTATTTGTGTTTATAGTACTATAGTCATAAAATGTAACTTTTGTTATTTTTGTGTAGAGAAAGGGGAGTCCAAGACAAAAATGCTTAAGGTCCAGGAAAGTCATTATGGGGCTCTTCATGGTACAAATTTCCTTTTTAAAAAACCCCACAATATCCCCATACTTCTCCCCGCCCCCTCCAAAAACCACTTTTATCAAAAATACAGACAATAATAAATGTTGGCAAGGATGTGGGGGAAAAGGCACACTCATTGCTGGTGGAACTGTAAATTGATGCAACCAATCTGGAAAACAGTATGGAGATTCCTTAGAAAACCTGGAATGGAACCACCATTTGACCCAGCTATCCCACTCTTCAGTCTATACCCAAAGGACTTAAAAACAGCATACTATAGTAACACAGCCACATCAATGTTTGTAGCAGCTCAATTCACAATAGCTAAACTGTGGAACCAACCTAGATGCCCTTCAGTAGGTGAATGGATAAAGAAATATATACACAATGGAATATTATTCAGCTTTAAAAGAGAATAAAATCATGGCATTTGCAGGTAAACAGATGGAGTTGGAGAATATTATGCTAAGTGAGGTTAGCCAATCCCAAAAAACCAAAGGCCAAATGTTCTGATAAGTGGATGCTGATCCATAATGAGGAACATAGCGAAAAACAATTTTAATAAGGTTATTTTACAAAGCAAAAGATTTTGTACTAAACTAATGTGAATAGCTATTAAAGAATATAACCTACCTTTAGTGCCAGACTTGAAAACGTATTTGAAACGTTGCACTTGAAGCTCAGCTGCTTGTCTAGGTTCCCATCTGGATCCCGCCTCCCATAATCAGAAAGTCCTGTGCGGTCGGAAGCTGCCACTTTCTGGAACACGGTGCAGGTCATCCCGGTGAAGCCAGCGGCCTTGATGACATAAGCCTCCAGAGCAATATTGGGTGAATACTTCAAAAACCAACCAAAACAGGAGTTATGAAAGAGTTATAATCTGGAGGAAAAGCACTTTCCAAGATTTTTCAAACACAAAACACTACGTATAAGCCAAACTAAAAAGCACAAGTTCTCATTAAACAAAAAGTATGTAGAAAACTGGACAAAATTTTAAAAGGTGATGGAACAAAACAACAACAAAAAAGTCCTAAAATGGAAAGATGATCAATGACAAGTAAAACAAGCTACACCGTACAGGAAATCAGCTATAAATGAGAAGTCAATTAAAAATAGTCTGCAGGCTGGGTGTTCAGTAGAAGAGGACTTGCCTAGTGCGCACAGGTCCTGAGTTCAATCCCCAGCACTGCAGAAAGGTAAACTAATCTAAAAAGAATAGAATTAATTTGAAAAGCACTTTGCAGGAAGAAAAGCTACACAGTCAAAATGGAAGGTCCTATTTAAAAAAAAAAAAAAATCAACTAGAGAAATCAGTAAACCATTAATGACCATTTCATGGGAGGAAATGGAAGGCAACTAGTAGGGTTTGAAATCAGCACCTGAAAGTTCAAGATCTCAGGCCATATTCACCTCTTCCCTTTCCAGGGAGAGCAAGTTAACTCTTTGCATTAGGTTTACAGAGATTCACTCCAAAGCTGTTTCTTCAAAAAAGAAAGGGAGGTGCTAGTTCCAAGAGTAGGAAAGAAACAGATTTAAGAGTGATCAGATTAGAAAAATTGCCCCAGAGTTTTCAAGGGACTCAAAAGTAAGCTAAACTTGGGGGCTCTGCCAAAATGTAGGACCTGCTGATACCACAGCTGCCAGAACCCAAGCATCACGCATTCGTCAGAAGCACACCAGAACGGGCTCCAGAAGTAACAGGCTGATGAGCCGCACGTTCAAATCCAGCAATGTGACAGGACCTACTGCCAATGCCAAGGGCAATGTGGTGTCTCTCCATTTCCTAGAGACTGTTAGGTGAACCTCTATCATAGGAACAAAGCAGCACCTCATGTCCTATATGAGGACAGTGTTTTTCTTGTGTTTTTTGTTTGTTTGTTTGTTTTACATGAGACTCTGGTATGAGATGCTTAAAATCTATTAGGAAGATACAAATTCTAAAATGTGAGAAGGAGGAAGGAATTTGGCAAGTGTGGCACACATGGTACTGACTCCAAAGGATGGTATTTTCTACATATGACAGAAAATAATTATCGGTTCTCAAACTTTTCAAGAGTAAACAAAATCTGCATTAGCTTCTGTCTCACAGAAAAGCTTAATTAAACTGCTAGTTAACAAATCATGTGCTCCAATTTTTTATTGATCAAAGCCTCACATAAAAAACTGAGTTTTTGATGAGTAGCGCTAACCATGATCAGCACATGAAACCTCAGTTAAAAGAAAGAAACCTGTCCTCCAAGACCCCCTGGTACCATATCCTTTCTTAATACAGCAGGCCCCCACCCAAATAGTTCCATTTTCCCCCATTCAGTTATCTGTAGTCAACTGTGGTCAGACGGAAAATATTAAATGGAAATTTCCAGTAATAAATAATTCATAGATTTTAATAACTTTTATCAGACTATATTATTACAACTCTTGTTTTATTATTATTTACTATTAACCTGCTACCATGCCTGGTTTACAAATTAAACCTTATCCTAAGTATGGACGTATAAGAAAACACACAGCGTACATAGGATTTGGTACTATCTGTGGTTTCAAACACCCACTTGGATCTCAGAACACTTCCCCAGGGAGTAGAAGGGACTGCTACTATGTAAGATGTGTCACTCCTATACTCGTTTTACACGTTGAAATGGCAGGTAAAAATACACACCATCACCTTTACTACACCCAGGACTTCTCAGAACTGGTGAGGTTCAGAAGAAGGAAGTAGGTTCTCTTCGCTGATAAAAAGGCCCAAGGATGGCATTCAAACTGGGTTTAATGGGCTGGGGAAAATGTAAGGTGAGAAGCTGGTTTCAAGTAAGGTCATGGATCTGTGAGGGAGAGGATGGTAGCCATGCTGGGCCTCTATTTTATTTACTATTCAGGAGAGTAATCCTCATCTTAAAGGAGCAAAAATTACAATAAAACACAGTACAATAAAAAATGGTCTCAGAAATCAATGAAAAAGTGATAATTTTAAAATTGCATAAAATCTCTGCTGTAAGGGTAGAATATTCAACACTACACGAACCCATCCAAAGAGTTAAAAAATGAAAACTGTGGACCATCAGAATAAGACTGCTAAAGGAACAACATACCATACTTCTCACAGTTTTAGAACAAAAAGTAAGCAGTACACAGAGGAAGTTGAAATAGTTCAAGTTAGCATAGATAAAATTCAGTACTATTTAACTGGGTGATTATCATGCCAATTGCTTCACAAGTGTTGGAGGGTATCCAGTGCTCTTCTGAGACCAGTGTCTGGGCAAGCAATCAGGCATTCTCTCAAAACACTCCTGAGGGCCCAGAACAGAGTACTAGGTAGCTCCCTAGCTCCAATGGACTGTGGGTAAGAGCCAATAGAACACTACAACAGCGCTCTTACTTTCCTTGTAGAAACAGTTTCAGTGGATTCCATGGTGCTAAACATTCAAATGAGAAATTTTCAGAGTTCTCTCCAGTCACCAATGAAATTGATTACTCAAAAGCAAAATTAGCTTTTAAAATATTTTAGAAAAGGAAATTCTATACTAATTATCAGTAACAGAAACTGCACACCCTGTAAAGGAAGAGACCTGTGTCTTTTGGGTTAGAGTCATTACAGTGAATTTTTTGTCAAGGATACTGTCACACTCACTGTTGAATAAACATGAGCCCCACTGGCGAGCCGGTAGGTAGCGATGCGCTGTAGACACTGAACAATCCGACTGCAGGCTCTCGCTTCCCTCTGCGCCAGCCACAGGACCCGCTCATCAGCCAACATGATATTGCTTGCGATGTCAACCATCACGTCCCCTAGCTAGTGAGCATGAAGGAAAAAGAAAGAAAGATCTTTGGAGCAGAGGCAAGCTGTCTAATAGCATCAAAATCCTACAGAGACAACAAGAATGTCCATCTAAATTTTTTACATGAAAACCCAACAGGCACTTTTCTTGTTTCTCATTAAAACAGCTTTGGATAGGAACAGCACATTCAACTATGGTCATTTAAAAATATTTAGCTCAAAACAGGTACTAAAGTAGTCACTACCTCACTAGTGAAGAGACCACTGCCTGGCAGATTAACAAAATGATGACGTCACAGGACCCCAGGACAAAAACAGCTCTAGTCTTCACCTCAAAACCATTATATGATAAACGTTTCTTTTTGTATAAGCATTAGCTCAAATAAAACTCAATGATTAGTTAAAAAAAAAAAAAAATCTGTACTTCCCCCCTCTTGTTTAATCTCATCATGTTCAAAATTCCAGGCACGTCCAAGCACCATGAGTTTCCCCGTTCCTGCGGTGCAATTGTACTCTGGTGTGTGGTTTCCTCCCCCTGAATGAAATCATTCTTCCCTTCCTTGGGACTCAGTGAATGCTTCAAGACCCAGTACCTTGAAATGAATGGACCCTAAGAGGAACTACTCCATGGTTTGCTTTACGTGTTTCGTATGACTGATTTTTTTTTTTCATTAGCTCACTTCAGGCCTCGCAGATGTAAACATCTAATCAAGCAATGCCAGTATTGCTACTGTCACCTGTGTATGCCTGCACAACCCTCTTCCCCATGAGAAATGCACGGAATGATCCAGCTAACAGGACACACTGTTGAAGAGGGAGGTTGATACAGAGCAAATTCTTCACAAGGAGTCTGTTGCAGAGAGGATAATAAAAACATCTACAGGCTGGCTAGCCCTCTCCCCCAGAAGTAGGCATCAAAGGTGGAGGCCCCAGTGCAAGCCAGGAAGCTACCGCTGCTTCAGCAGTTGTCTCCTGGTCCTCCCAAGAAGATCCCACCTAAGGTTTTCACTCCTGTTCTGCTTCCAGCACTCTTCCCAGTGCACAGAATTATGAGGGCAGAGGAGGTTTTGGAACAAGTTCAGTCAAAACCCCATGGTTCACTTTACAAAGAAGACAGGCAGATCCAAAACCTGGAACCATGGAGTGGGCAGAGAGGTGAGACCAGCACCTTAATGGTGACGCCGCCACCTGCCCACATCTTCCCGCTCAGTAAACGCATAGCAATGGTCCTGTCTTCTGAACAAGGTGCAGACCACACTCCAAGGATAAATGCAGGCCTCATGAGACCATGTCTGGCACCCAACAAGCACTCCAAAAATGTTGACTCTGCCTGTTATTTTACTAAAGCATTTTAATGCTAAAATAGACTTCTTTTTTAAGATGACAGGCTCCAGAAGTGACAAGGAGTGTATTTCACAAGTCTGTGTTCACATATAACCAGAACTAACAAAACCGGCTTTTTGCCCTCTTAAAGCCCCAGCCCCCAACCTCAATCTGATCTGAAAAAATCCTGACTCTGTACTGTCCTGATCACAATGGACCATGATTATTTCCATGTTTTGTTTCCAATGTAAACATCTAGGAAAAAGGACATCATACTATCTTACTTATACCATTATTCACTAGTAGAATTGGTATGGAGCCCAATAGTTATCTATGTTTATTAATCAATGCTTATCAACGTTCATTATTCTGTTCATGTACAATGTGTATTAAGTAAACATTTGTTAGGGGCCAAAGTGAGCCCTGCGCAGTAGACACACAGCAGTGAAGGAAACACACATGATCGGTCTTCAAGCTTAGAGCCCAGTGAAGAAAATACAAAACAAGCCAGTAATCCCGTTCTTTAAAAATGATCCAGACTGTGATCATGGCAATGACGGAGAATAACAAAACAATCCAACCCCCCTATTTTAATGGACTCACATATTCTCACAGGTACTTCTCCCAAATCTAAGATATCAACACAATCAAATGGAAGAGAGAAAAAGCCCACCAGGCAAGGTGGCACTTGCCCACAAATCCCAGGACACAGGTCAAGGTAGCAGATCATTTGGGCAAAGAAGCTGTAGACTAGCCCAGGCAACAGAGCAAGACTCTGTCTTGAGAGAGAAAAAAAAAAAAAAAAAGAAAGGCAAAGAAGAAGAGGCTAACAACCACATTTTACAGAATTCCATTCATTCCATTTTATATGATTCACAGGAATATTATCATCCCAGGACATTTTCCTTCTGATGACAGGGCTGGTGAATTCCACTCCACAGGAAGTTACAAAGACAGGTTCTGACTCCTGATATGTCCATTACTGAATGTACCAGTCAGGTGTCTATACAGAGATTAACTAAGAAGTCCTAATTTTAAATGGGAATTCAGAACAACTGGAATGACCTAAGTTTTTGTCCATTATTATGATTTATTGTTACCTCGAATTTCTATGTGGAAATCAAAAAACTAAGAGAGATGAAGTTGTCAAATATGCTTTATGACTATCAGAAATGAAATTCCTGTTGGCTACAAAAACTTAAGAGATAAAGCACATAAAATACTGATTCTATTCTGAGGCACTACTAACTATATGAAATACCTGCACAGCATAAGTACAATTAAAATTTGTTTACCATTTTTTTTTGTAGATTAAAATATATGGTCTGTATAATGATCTAACATAAAACCTGGAAGACGTGTCATCTTTCCAGAAAAATTATGATAACGTGACCAAAGAATTCTGCTCTGCTCCACTAGATAAGACCCATGTAGGAATGTAACTGAGCACCTCTAGGAAGGTAAGAGGATGACCCTAGCCAAGAACAAGACATTTTTCTCATTTTTATACCAAATGGCTAAGAACCAAAGAAAGGAATTTGTTGCCAAAATATTTGTAGAGCAGATGATCACAGAATGCTACATGTTTCTGTAGCCTGGTTAGGGAAGTGGCTCTGAATCCGACACAGTGGCCAAAAGGGACACAAGAGGGAACAATGCATTGGATTGAAAAAGTATGCCCGAAATCGGACACACAGAGACAGTTTTAATGTGCAACCAGCATTCCATACAAAGCATCGTATTTGTCCCTGGACTCATTTCCTGTAGGTCACTCCAAAGGGTCGGAAGGAATCAGGCACCTGTTCCTGCACCTGTCACATTAAACTGTAAGGACCAATGAAAACACATGGGAACAAACTTTATCAAAGATGAAATGTGAAGAAATAAAAATGCCACATGCATAACAATGAAAGTGTCCAGAGCCACAGTTGTAAGAGATAGATCATTCTATGTTCTAAAGTCAAAATCATCTGCAAATTCAATAAATGTCTGATACGTTACATTAATAAACAGACAAGATAATATACAAACTCGATCTTTAATTATAATGTAGTAGGCGTACGGTGTTTAACACTGAAGACAGAATACTCCTGTGGCCTGTAGTTCAATGTTCCTGGATTAAGGCTGTCACTTACAAAGTTAGATATTCCAGAGCAAATCAGTTGGCCTCGCTGAGACCCAGTTTGCTCATGTGTAAAATAAGGAGACCAGGTTCCCTGTAAGAAATGCTCAGCACATCTTATTCCATGCTAAATTAAAACAAAGGAAACCCAGAAGACAAATGTCTTCTCACACAACCTAGTGGAAATAGAAATAAAGAAAAGCAGGCAGTTTCTAAGAAAGGCCAAGTGACTTAGGCCCTTTCCCATATTTATATTTTCAAGTGCAGAGTGGTGAGGGACACTGTCAATTCTAAGAACCAGAGAAACAAGAATGACAAACAGATATGTAGCTGGGCATCTGTTTCAAGGAAGCTAATACGGAGGATGGAGACTAGAGGTTGGAGTAACCTGTCATCCAAACTTGACTAAGACGTCACAGCATTTTCACCATCACGGCTGCTATTAACGGAGTGGTCTTCATGATCGTCAAACAAGCAAACATTACACTTAAGAGAGATGTCAGAACATTCCCATTAACACCTCTTAATCCATACTGATCTGGAGGCGCCCCGTATTTTCATAAAAATAAATAAATAAAAATAGAGGGGTACATTTTTAGATAAGAACTGATGAACCAATTATTTATTTGCTGATGACCTAACTGTTCATCTAGAAAATAACAGCTCACCAACTGCAAAATGGTATGAATGAATTCTACAAGGTAACTAGGCAGGAGATCCACATCGTTAAGAAATCATAATCAAGGAAAATAGAACATGGGCTATATATCTGCAGATACTAGGGACGTGGGCTAATTCTGGTGACAGACGAGCAATTTTTAAAGCTCCTTTTACTTTAGAAAATTATGAATGAAATGTGATGTACAGAATTTGTTTTTAAATGCTCCAGCACTAAGAAAAAAAAGAATGAAGCAAAGGAGCTAAGGAAAGAAGGAAAAAGGAAGGGCGGGCAGAGGGAAGGAAGGTAAGGGGGAAAGACGGGTGAATCGAGATGGTAAAAGCTGAAAACTGACACATTTGTCCAAAGAAAAAGTTCTCAAAAAGTTAAACCCAAAGGAAAAACATCTTTAAAAGCAATATAAGGATAGAAAATTAAGACAGTACAGAGGTTTTCAAAGCCTGTGCCAAGGACACACTGCCCAGCATTACCTGAGCTGACCTTCTGCAAGTCACATTCTCAGAACCAGCCCCAGAGTTACCGTGTCAGCACCTGGGAACGGCGGGGAGGGGTCTGCTCACAGCAGCAGTCTCTGTTTAACAAACCCTGCCACTGATTCTGACCCGAGCTCAATCACAGAGCCAGACCCGGGTCTTTGAAAAGATTAATCATACAGAAAAGTCTACCAAGTAAGATCAAGAAAAAAATAAAGAAATATTAAAAATAAAGGATCATCATAAATGTCAACAAGGAAATGAATATTTAAAAATGAATAAATAAAAGAAATATACTTTTTTAAGAATATGTTCATAAAATTCAACTAAATGAACTTAGTAAACTAGCCTAAGGTATGTGTCTCACTTGCATATTTAAAACTAGAGCTCAATAAAGCAATATAAACCAAATCTACACTTCATGCACTTTATCATCTTCTGAAATGGATATATACTAGTTTCATAAGAAAAATACCTCTAATGAATATGGAATAGACACTTACTTTGTCTGACAATCTTTAGCTGTTTTTAGAAAATAACTTAATACGTCAGTTTGATAGCTTTTAGTACCTATTCCTAAGACAAAAGAGTACTAGTCTGTGTTGGTTAGACTCGATCACAATTTAAAAAGCAATTACCTTGCTATACTTTACTTAACAAATTATTCACAGCAGAATTAACTTTTGGGATATAATACAAAAATCAATTAATTTTTTGTCCCTCTAAGACACGTGCATTTTAGGATATCCTAGCATAATTTTATGCTGTTAATTAACTTAAAATGAAGTTCTTAAACCTCATAATTTCTTTTTACTACACTAATAAACAGTGAAAGCTACAGCCTACAGTTTAAGGTTCCAAAGAACTGTATAGGAAATCAGTCACCACATCACAGGTAATATTACATTTATATGCCCACAACTCAGTGACTCAGTCTTGAATATTTTCCTTCTCTTTCTCTTATTTATGTTTGGTAAGTTCCTGTTACTTGTTTTCAAAGATAATCATTAACTTTATACCATGAAATGATAGCAATCTCCTTCAAACTAAACTTTAAGATAACTAACTAAAGTACTCAAGATTTTGTAAGATCTTAAGAAGATTAATCTCATACCCTAAAAAAACAGACCCAATTTTTGCAACTATTTTGCAAAAAAAAAAAGTTTTACCTGGATTTTCTCATTTGTTCATAAGAACTCTGCAAGTTAAACAGGGAAGCATTTCCATTTTAAAAATAAGGAAGGGCCCACGGTTAGTTAACCCACAAAACTGTCTTCCCCCAGTTCAGCAGGACACTTCCACCTAGAAGCATCAAAGCAGCAGACTGTTCACTCTACGCACTGGCAACAGTTCAACTTGAACCTCAGGGCTAAACTGTTCTTTGCAAATTGAGAGGTAAGCAAGAAATTCCTCACATCCAAACAGGGTAGGGAGGGAAGAAACAGGCATTATAACTTGGCAAAATCTTTTTTCAGTGCTCACGTTCCAAATGTCATTATAATTATTCTAGTAACTCAAAACATTCCACTTCCAGAAACAACCACTAATCATGTGGGCTGCTAATCTGTGATTTAAGCAACAATGAAAAACAAAAGCAGAAGAGTCAGAATCCAAACCACTTCTCCCAGTGCTAAGAACACTTACCACAGGGAGTGGCTGTGGCCTGGAGCACAATGGAACAGCAGGACAGCTCATTAGAAAACCCCAGTCTCTAGAGTTCAGATAACAGTACTGAAATATTCTCCCACTGGCCTGTGAAGTCCCCATTTGCCTGAGTTCCATTAATGTACACATATCTATTTTCCTTCCTTGAACAACTACATCCTAACAAGAAAAATGTCTAACATCAAAGGGCCAAAAGATACTCTACCAAAAAAAAAAAAAAAAAAAAATCTTTGGTTAAATGATCTAGGGAAAACAAAATGAATAATTTACCTTTGATCCATATCAATGTATCTGAGATGTCCTACATAAAGATTCATGTTTTGTTTGGCCAGTGTGTTTCCCCTAGTTCTGCAAGACAGGGCAACACTGTACTAGAAGGCAAAGGTGATGCTGCAGGACACTCTTCTGGATCATCCTAGAAGCTCCTGGGATCTGCTTGCTTTCTTTCAGCCCTGCATTGCGCTCCAGTTTGGACTGGGCAGGTTCCTTCTACCTACCGTTCATTTTGGTATGAGGGATTATATTACAAAGGAAACAACAAAGTTCTCACATAGCTCAAAACTTACACCTTCAGAACACAATAAATAATCTTGCCTCATACAATTATTTTCATTTTTTTGTTGTTTACTACTCAATCTAAAATATGTAGTTTTTTATTTTCCCCTGAAGAATATCATGTTGATAAGGATATCATAGTTTTAATTTGGTCCTGTTGAAATATACCCCTTGACAAAGTCACTAATTAAAAAAAAAAAAATTGTAACTGACATAAAATTGTATATATCTATGGGGTCCCATGTGATGTTTTTCCACATGTGTACACTGTGCAGTATTCAAGTCAGGGTAAACATATCTATCTATCTCTTCAACTATCATTTCATTAAACTTTCAGAACTTGTATATCCCAACCATATGGAACTTCAAAAAGGGATCTCAATGGCCTCTATTTCTTCAGGAAGCAATTAGGCAGTTTACAACAAGATCTGGATGACTAAACTCACACCCAGGAGGATGACACATAGTTGTGTGGATGAGGGAAATGATGGGTGTCAGAAACAAGAAGCCCTGGCACACCCTCACAGAGCGAAAGCTGCCCTAGGCCCTAACAGTACCTCAAGGTGCAAGATCTGAGCTCACCTCTCCTCCCTGCAGTAGTACACAGGTTCCCATACTAACTGGAGTATACACACCTCCATGACAATGTTGGAAAATAAAAAGTATACCCAGCTCAGACATAGCAAACACAAGCCAGTTTTTAAAACAAAGCTTCGGCTCCATTTCTATTTGGTAACAATATATGCTACAAATCTGAACTTGGGGAAAATACCTCTTTTGATTTTTCTTCTTTGGTAAATCTTCCAAATTTTTCTATCATTTCAGCCACAAAGATAACATCCATCTTGTCAGAAAAGTTGGCTGCTTCCACGGTGTAAGCCAGCAACTGCCGAGCTGTTGCCACAGCATTTGTAAGATTGAGGGGCATCTGCGAGAGGAAGGCAAAGAGCAGCACTTGGCAAGTGACCAGTAAAAGGTTGAAATTTTAGCTCTGCATTTCACAAGCATGGGAATGAACAGAACTATTACTTACTCATCATAACCTTAAAACACGTTTCTCAAATTCAAGAAAACTGGGATTTTAAAGGAAACCAACTAGAGGAAAATTTTTGTATCGTTGGAATAAAACATAATAAGACACAACACATCGGTAAACACAGTGCACTATCTCCTCCTCCCAGCTCACCCAAATTCTAGACATACCTTGGAATGCCTTTCCCAAGTACCCCAGCTACTACTGACTGACACCTCCTTGCACTCCCACTGAACCAGAGTAGCAACCACTATTGAGCACTTATCTTTACTGACATGCACGGCCAGTGCTGTTCTGCATTTGCTTATTTATTGACTTAAACATCAACCACTGCACAAAGGGGAAGCTGCCGCTAAGGATCAGGGAAACAACACAGGACAAAGAGCAGAGAAGCAAAAGTGAGAGGCACATGAGTCACACTAGTGTACCAAGGAGTCACTCTGGACACAGGGATCATAAAAGGAACCCAGAATGTGGCTTTCCATGAGGACTGGAAGGTGCTGGGATTCTGCCTGGTGGACACAGATGACAAAGACCCCCCTATCAAGGGCACGAGGCCAGCCAGCAACGGGAAGGGAAGAAGGGCACATGGAGCATGATCCCGAGGACAGGTCAACTGAGGGCGTAACACCAGGGCGTTACACTTCACCGGGGAATTTTTCAAATCACTTATTAGATTGGAACACCATGTTTTATTCACAGCCTGAGTAAATATGAAGATGATCTGGTTACCTGATTAAACATATAAAGGACTCTAGTGACGTCATTTGCATACTGGCAGCGAGAATAATCATCATCTGCCCAAAAGCCACCTCTGTCACATCGGCGCCAAGCCTTTCTCTCATCCTGAGGGTTTCCAGGATAGATGCCACTGCCGTGGGTGTTCCGGGTACACTGCAGATATGCGGTAATGCCTGCCAACGTCCTGGGCCATCTAGAGAGGTGAAGACAGAATAGTCTAAGAAAACCTAGAACGACAGAGGGAACCAAGGGTAGCAACAACAGAAGAAAAACCAAGGAGAGGACACACCGTGCATCATCACAGACAAAAACCAAGAGGAGACGCGAAACTCCTTGGAGAAAAAGAAAAACAATATACACAGACTAGCCTGTTTTAATCAATCTACTGAGTATATTTCTTTTTTTAATAATAAAAATTACTATTTTTAATACCTTTATTTTATTTATTTACTTTTATTTGGTGCTGAGTATCGAACCCAGGACCTCACTCGCACTAGGCGAGAGCTCTACTGTTGAGCCACAACCCCAACACCTGCTAAAGATATCTCAACAAAATAATAATATTTTTTTCTGAAATAAAATTGTAAAACCTTCTAGATTTTGCTATGAATGGAGAAAAAAGAAAGTTGGTGCAACAGATGGTCTTATGTCTATTTAATACCATTATATAATCATAAGGCATATAGACTCTTGCCCAATAAACAGAATTTGGCCTTTTATACTTGTAGGGTTAGGATATGTGAAAAAAAAAAAAAAAAGGTACCAGAGCAGTTCCGTGACTGCTGTCCTTAGAAAGGCCTGCTTGCAAAACTGGCCCTTCAGTTGTTGCCTGGGAACCTGAGTGACCAGCACATGCCCTTGAAGTTACCCAGTGAGTGTCATTCACTCTGCCTAGATGGTTAGGACGAGTCCCTGCTTTCCGCGGAGGAGTCTGGAATTTTGATTCATGCTAACCAGAGGGGGCTACTGGACCAGCTGTCAGGAAAAGTCAGAGGTTCTGTGTCTCGAATGGGCCTCCTGGGCAGAAATGCTACAGAAGGATCCCTGCCTTTTTCACAACTGCTGGCAGAGTAGGTCTCTGTGACCCCCTTCAGGCATAAAGAAGCAAGCCTACAGGAGACTTCTTCCAGCACCTACTTGGGTCTTTCCCCCTTCCCATCCACTCATGTGCCATAATACATTAATACTATATATTGTATCTGTGAGTTCAGCTCTGTGCTGAGTCCCTGGAGTCCTCCCAGCAATGTCTGAACACGGGCGTGGTCTTACAGACTCCAACACAGCAGACTACAGAACTCATGGGGGGAACTACTCCCTGACCAGTGACTACAAGCCCTGTGGACGGGGCTCATTGCCCCTTGGGGTAGGAGAAAGCTCTGTTATTTGAGCTCTATTTCTCAAAAACTGGGAATGAACTTAAGCATCTTTAATACAAGTTGTAATGATGCTGAACAAGGAACAACTGAATTATAATGTCAGTCACATCAAAACGCAATTCATTACCAGAAACTACATAAATAGATCAAGCAACACTAAACTAAGTCTTATTAATGCAGTGGGAGTTTAATTGTATAATATCTTAAGGAGTGTCAAAAGATAAATAATTCATTAATCAGTTAAATATTTAGATTTTTCTCCTATTTTTAAAAATGTAAAACACTCAAAAATTATGAGTAAAACATAAAATTCACCATAAACAGAAAACATCAGATTATGATTATTTAATAAAAGATACTGAAAATAACAAAATTAATAAATGTCAAACATTTCACCTTAAAGTACACAATATAAATATAGATCAATATTTAATGCACATAAAGACTTCTCATTGGCAATAATAAATGCTGGTTTCCATATGTCAAGAAGAATCTTAAAAAAAAGAAAAACAAGAAAGGAGCGATAAAAAAAAAAAGCAAAATTTAAAAAGGGGAGCTATAAGATTTATTATTGCTACTTCTCCTTGGATTGGCAAGATTAACACCAAAGGGTTTTCTAACTCTTAAAATATTACAATTGTAGTCAAGAGGTGACAATAAACTCACCAGAGACCATGCCAAATTACAGTTAATCTTTATTGCTGCCTGAAAGAGTCATATATTTCCCTTTGTTCATATCAACTATAAACTCTTAAATAAAATCCCTCAAATAATAGAGTTAATAATAGATGTAAATGTGCTAAAGCAACATTGAAAGTAAGACATATCTAAGGTAAAAGTTGTTATTTCTCACCTGTTCTAAACTTTCTACTAAAACAAATTAACTTGTTCAGCTCATCTTAACAGAGTCCCATAACCAACCCCTGAGATTCCAGTGGCTCCCCAGTCTCAAGACTCCCCACCACCTTTCATTCCCAAAGTCCTCACCTAGCTTCCACAAGAACAAGTAGGGAGAGAAAATGAGATATGCATCTTTCCTAGCTATTGGCTCTTGAGTGGACAGCACAGCTATGAGTGAGTGACTTCACAACCCTGCCAAACCCTCAATGTTCATCTACAATGCAGTCCTTGACAAAACCATTAGCCTAACTTTTGTATTATCTTAACAGAATATCCAAAATATTTTCCTAAAGTAGTGATTTTTAACTTACACAACAAAATCATTTGTTTAAAATGATTATTTTGAGAGAGAATTAAATAAATAAATATTATGTCTGAAATAACGTTCAGGTTTCTTTTTTTTCCAATCTCCATAAATACTTCTGAAATTATCATTCTAAAGTTAGTTCTTAGACATATGAGGATATATATGTGTACAAATATACATTTCTCAAATTCTGTTTCTTAGAATCGAGTCCAATTATGTACCTTTGAGAATAAAAAGACTTAGGACAAATCAAGACTTCTGAAGTACTTTCTGTGTCACTGACCTGAAATCACCTTTATTATTTACCACCCTCTCCGGAGGACAGTACTGTGCAGAGCTTTCTAAGACCACAATATCGACAGTTCTTGTGTTGTTCCCGCGTTTGCTCTGGACATGACAGCCCCAATTTCCAGTAGATCCAGCCTGAATATTAGAAATGGTTAGGGCACTGCATGGGAAAAAAAAAAAAAGATTTTAAAAATAGAGAAAATATGGTTAGGCAGTGAGAGAGAGATTGTGGGCTTCAATCAGTCACCTAACAAGGTAACTGAACGCACACTTGAGCCAAGCACTTGCTAGATAAAAACAAATAAAGAAAAAGCGCCCCCCCACCCCCACCCCAATTTAAGTCCCTCAGTGGCAAGTCAAAACACCCAAGGGAACAGATTCCTAAAACAGGAGGTTGGGGCAGTGACAGGAGTATGTACAGAGTGCAGTGGTCACGATGCTGAAGGCCTCTGCTTCCAGCCTAGGGAAGGGAAAGGAGCCAAGAGCCCTAAGGCCCAAGTAGCACTGTACTTCCTCAGCCAACATGAGGCTTCCAAGTCACACCTACCTTCTCAGAGATTCTCAGAAGAATCTTGAGCAAAAATACTCAAGCATGAAGGAAGGACAGTACTATGTGAATTATGAAATCAAGAAAATACTAAAGGTAGGGTTGGGATTGTGGCTCAGCAGTAAAGCACTTGCCTTGCACGTGTGAGGTCCTGGGTCAATCCTCAGCATCACATAAAAATTATTAAAATAAAGGCATTGTGTTCAACTACAACTGAAAAATTAATATTTAAAAAAAAAGAAAGAAAGAAAATACTAAAAGTAAATTATTCTACAGAAGAAGGATTACCCTGAAAACAACCATTTAATCTCTAAAAAGATTCAGTGAATGAACAACTGATGCGTTCATAAGGTGGATTCCATGTAAAGGTATATTTCTATTTATAAGACAGATGTATTTCTTTTCATTTTATTTGAGACTGGGTTTCTCTGAGTTGCCCAAGCTGTTCTTAAACTAAAAATTCTCCCACCTTGACCTCTGTAGTAGCAAGAATTATAAGTGTGGCCCACCATGCCCAGTTAAATACCTATATTTCCAAATAACTGTCAGTAAATCCCATTTTCAAGATGAAATTGTAATTCTCTCATATAAAACCTATTAATCAAAGAGCAAATGTCAGAACCTTCAATTAACCTTTACCAACCCACATGACCCACTCTACTTTGCTGTTATGTAGACACAAATGATAAAACTTAAAACATATAGCATTTAGCATTTTAATTAACTTATAAAAGTATGTCTTTCAGTTAAGATACATTTGTCTGGTCTCCTAAACCATTGATCTCTGCAGAAAATGTTCTTATAAAGACTCCAAGACACTGTCCTATTCTGATTTATCAAATATGTTTATTATCTTTACAAAATGTGGAAAAGAAGTCAATAACTGTAATAAACATTTTCAAGATCAAGTGAAAGAAAAGTCTGACATTAAATTTAAATAACCATAAAGTCTGCAAACATTCTATTTTACATGGCTATGCTCAACTCGGAAAATGTATGTAGAAAGTTTGTCAGTGAAAATCATCCTTGATCCAGAGGCTTCCAAACTTCCTCAGTTTGGGGTGAAAAAAAATCCAAGACTGTGTCTCTAACAATTTAGTAGCTATTTGAAAAAACAACACATAAATTTGAAATAGAATTTTTATTTCACTCTTACATAACCACAACTTCCTGACAGTAAATGAGTGCCCACTGCATACTCAGAAAATAAATAAATAAAATTCAAATCTCGGATTCATAAAGGCAGTGGCACCCCTATATCCTGTTCCACAATAATTTTCACACAGTACTCATTTTGGACCATGGCAACTGCTAAAAAAAATCCCACATCTCAAAATATGACTCCAACAAAAGGGGCACAGTAATGATATGAATCTGACACTGCACATGGCTGGGGGTTCAGTGCTGAGTGCTGTCCATCAAATGTCAAGCTCAGAAATTCAGTATGCACTCCTCCAACACCACAAATGCTTGCAGATCTTCCATGGATTCAGTATGGTGTCCCTGGACACATAAGCACCTGGCTTTGGGAACTGTAGTCACAATACAAAGATGTTTGTGGACCGCATTTAGCAATACCTCAGTGTCTAAAAGCAATTACTGGGCCGGGCGCAGTGGCACACACCTGTAATCCCAGCAGCTCTGGAGGCTGAGGCAGGAGGATCATGAGGTCAAAGCTAGTCTCAGCAAAAGAGAGGTACTAAGAAACTCAGTGAGACCTGGTCTCTAAATAAAATACAAAATAGGACTGGTGATGTGGCTCAGTGGTCAAGTGCCCCTGAGTTCAATCCCTGGTACCCCCCCTCAAAATTAAAAACAATAAAAAATAAATAAAGGCAATCATCGGGATAAAATCTCCAGGACTCCTCCAGGAAACAGACTCACAGAGATTTAAGGAAATTTAGGAAGAAAAATAACTTCAATTTCATCTTCTAAGAGAACTACAACCACCAATTCTTACTGATTAGAAGGATCAATGACATGAAGAAACCAATGAAAAATCAATAGATAGCTCCCTCCAATTTAAAAGTTATACACTTCTGTCTCCTGAAACTTCTTTTATTATTCTGGGCTAAGTCTAGGTGAAGAACTTTGCAGTCTTCACAAAATTTTTACTTTAGTCAAAAGTTTTTACCAACAACATTATTGTAAAAATAGCTGAGTTGCTATGCTTAGAAATTGTTTTTGTACTACTATAAAGAATTTACAATAATTTAAGCATAACCTGCAGATTATTATTAGATTTATAAAGTAAATTTAATTGCTTTACAGTCACACAACTGTGACTATAAATTAAATCAAAATTCTTTTACATAGAACAAAGTCTAGCTTGTTTTTCAAGACTGATTGGTGCATTGTATATCAATTATTGTCTATTTATACCATAAATTGCTTAAGAGTGTACAATTTTATGAATTTTGACATATGCACATGCCTGGGAAATTAACAGCACAATAAAAATAATAAAACATGAATATATCATCTCTATCAATCTTATCCCTTAATAATGGGATTTTGCTTCTGGGGACGGTTGAGTAGCCCATACTAAACCACACTTCCTACAATTAATACTCAAACTCTGAACAAATAATAAAAATAACAACTATCTGAACACATGGCCAGTGATCAAAAGCAAGCAGAAAATGAAGAGGAGCTGATATTAGGAAGAGTGGATTAGCACTGGAGAGGAACCAGAAAACTTTTCACTTATTTCCCAGCCCCATATTTATCTATGAGTGCATTATAGTTGTACATATTGATGGGATTTGTTGTTACATATGTGTACATGCATATAATACATACATATGTAACAATATGATTTGGCCAATATTATTCCCCAGCACTTCCTCTCTCCCTCCCCACCTCTTGATACTTTTCCTCTACTGATCTCCCTTCCCAGAAACCTTTTGAATGTGCACACCGCCCCTCGCCCCCCAAAAGAGCAGGCCCCACTCAAACAGATCACAATCTTAGTGACTTAAAAGACAGAGCGGGGAGAGGCAGAAGGAGGGAGGATGTAGCATGTCTAGAAACATAAACTTCCAAGGATGCAAATCCACCCATATCTGCTACTGACCTGTGGGTACATACACAGGTAGGACAGACACCAAGATTTCAGTTGCCACCTACCAGAGTTTGAGTTTAGCACAACTATTGCCTGACCGAACAAAAAATCAGCTCTTCTCAGAAAAATGAAATAGAACCCAGAGTTAGGAGTCAGCAAACTTTTTCTTCAAAGGCCAGAGAGTAAATATTTTAGAATTTGTTGGCCAAGAAGCAATATCCAGGATATTATAGAAGTATTGTTCAGGATATAATCCAAAATTATCACTAGACAAATAAATTATATTTTTGAAATATAGGAAAATATAAACCATATTCTAAAGAAAAACAGTAATGATGATTCAGTTGTTAAAAGTGGCAGACATTAGAAGGAAAAGAAAAAAAAACCCAAAACAAGAAATAAGACATAAATAAAAGTATGATTGTAATAAATAAAAAATTCCAAGAAAGGAATTATAAACTAGAAAAGTTGACCTCAGAATTTATCAGACTTGAATCAACTCAAGAGAACCTGTACTTTCTCAGCAGTTTTCTTATGGCATCTGTGCCCTGGCAGAGTTTGGAAGCTATAGCTCTACTAGAATAAAAATTCAACCAGGAAGAAGGGAGAGAAGGAAGGAGGGGGAAAATTCAATGTCTACAAGTAAAGAGCTCACCAAAATAAAATAACTGATGGGTGATAACATCACATATATTGTAACCTTTTTTATAAAGCTCAGATTAACTATTTTGGTGCTCATACCAACAATGGGGTTGACAGTTCAGATAGCATATTCTTTTATACTAGTAGGTAGAGAGAAGTATCTTAAAATATACTATTAATTATGAGACAAAACAGTGAAAATCAGATAATTCTTCCAAGTAAAAATAAAAGCTTAGTAGCAGGAAATGGTTAAGAAAATAAGGTTTGGCACAAAAAGTATACATATTTCTTCTGAAGGCTTTAAGTGAAAAAAATTCCCAGCTTTTTAAGTGTTTCTCTTTTATAGATTTCCTTCCAAAAGTGGATGGGAAGATGTCTATTTAATTTTAAAAGAGGAATAACAGTCCAGAGAACAAATGCAAAATGTCTGCATTTTCCAATACAAGAAGATACAATATTAATCCGCATTTCCAACTAAACATGGCAACTCCAAAAGGGTAAATAAAATCTAGAGATGAATCTTCATCTAAAAAAAAAAATTTACCTTGCAATCAAGGAGCAGTTGTGAATCATGTTCTTTTCAACAAAGATGCCTTGCGATTCATCAGTTTCAACTATTCGCCCGTCCTGATACCACAGCACTTGCATGTCCTGGTCAATGTATGAAGCCATGCACTGGAAGGGAAGGCTGTCTCCTTCAAACACAACTTGCCGATGTGATGGAGTCATATAAAATGAGGGTAGTTCAAGGGGTGGATCTGGAGAGAGTAAAACAAGGACTTGGTAAACAACTATAACAGGAAACAATGACCATTCCTCAGTAATCAGCATTGCTCCTAGGGATGGCTGCTATTGAGCTGAGTGGTGCTCTGATTTGGGTGTGCTCCCCAAGGGCTCGGGTATTGGATGCTTGGTCCCTGGTTCAGCAAGGTGAAAGGTGATGCAGCCTTTATAAGATGGGGCCAAGCAGGGGGCTCTCAGGTCACTGGGGCACCTGTCCTCAGAAGCAATGCTGGTCTCTTAGAGCGACCAAGCATCTTCTTCTCCAAAGAGCAAGTTGCTAGAATAGCCTGAGCTTGCCCCCTAAATTGCTCTCAGGTGCTATCTTGAAATGCAACCTTCTGCTCCCACACATTCACCTGTCATGCCATCTGCTACAAGCCCCTCACCAGAGGCCAACCCAATGGGCCTTCCCAATTTTGAAATCTAAGTTTCGGAAAAGAAACTTAGAGTTTCTCTTTCATTTATGTCTTATTTCTCATTTTGGGGGGGATTTTTTCTTTTCCTTCTAGATGAATCTCTTTCTTTTTTAATGAAGTTCAGGTTTTCTGTAATAGTAACAAAACACAGACTAAGAAAAGTGGTTCACAGGTGCAAACAAAATTAAGTAAAATTAAAAGGAAACCAATACATACTCAAGTTCTAATATTTATAATTTTTCCTCTTAGATATTATAAAACTATCAGATGATCACTGAAGCAAGAGAAAAGAAAAAAAATGTAAAACTTAAGTCCAGAGCATGAACTAGGGATAAGTAGATGCTGAAACAATTTTAAAATACATTTGGACATTATATTACCTTTGATTAAAACACTGGTTTCTGGCTGTAAGAGTAATGCACATTCACTGTGGAAAATTCAGAACATTTAAGAAAAAATGTCTTTAAAATCCCATATTTTATAATTGTTTTTTGAAAAATGATATATTTCCTTCCAAGTCAGAAAAATGAAAGGAAAAGATTTTAAATATGTTTGTGAAAATGTACACAAACAGCATTGGTTCATTAAAAGCCTTTAAAGTATTAGTTCATTTGTTTAACATAATTCTAACAGTGTATATCCTAAAGAATAATTGCAAATATACAAAAATATATTCAAAGACATTAATCACTGCATTATTTATGGACTGAGAAAACAACAAGTTAAATATGCAGTAATAGGAAGCTACTAAATTATGGCTACCTCTTTACAATGCATTAGTATGCATCTATTTTATACAATAAGGAGGTAAGTTTACATTATTTCAATTTTTGAAAAGTTAGAAAAATGTCATTAGAGAATATTTTTGTCAAAACACAGGAGTCCTGCTTCTTAAGCTGAGGAAGAGGCTCAGTGGTGAGTCTCTGGTATGATCCCCAGCACTGCAAACCAACCAAACAAACAAAACAAAGGGAAAAGGTGCAGAAGATAACACACCAACGTCTCAACACTCGCTATCTTCGAGTGGTAAGAATGTACACAGGGGTTTTGATTTTTCTTAATTTTTTTGTTTCCTCCCATAAATCTTAATTTTCAATGAGCATATTTTACTTGTTAAATAACAAAAATAATGTTAATAAAGAGAAAAAGAATGACAAGATTTTTTCTTTTCAAACACAAAGACTGGGCTGGCATCTAACTGTATTATTATAGGAATTACTGTGGGTTTATGGGTTGTTCTCATCCCCCCTAACTCCACTTAGTACATGGTAAATGTGTTATTTCTCTCATGTTTTCAGATATTCAATAGCAACATATTACCTCACTGAATGAACATGTCAAAAGTAATTAAACTATTCCTCTATTTTTTTGAGAACTTAGGATGCAATTTATAGTCTTGATTATTTACACACACAGGTGATCATTTCCTAAGAATTAGCAAGACATAAAATTATAAGATCTAACTGCACTGCATCACTACTTTAGGGACACTGACACTTGGTTGAACTATAGAAACTTCAAAAAGGACTGTGCCACAGGATGCAGGTACAGTTCAGTGGGTACAGCCCCTGTCTATCATGCAGGATGTACTGGGTTTGAGGTACAGCACCAAAAAAAAAAAAAATCAAAAAAGGTTACATCATGTCACACTCCTACCAACAAACAATATGTGGACATCCTGAAACTTTACTAATATCAACAAATTCCTGGTCTGCCACTGCAAAGTGTGAATTACCTACACTATTTTTTAAATCACTTTTCATAAAGAAAACTTTTCAGAACCTAAGAGCAGTTAACTTAAAGACCAATCGAAAAAATAATGCTCTCTAATCCAGCTGGCTTACTTGCTGGCATAAACCCAATATTATCAAATCCTCAAAGATTAATGATTGTACTTCAGTTTCCATCAAAAGAATTTTACAGTTTGTCAAGAAAAACATGGTAGCAAGTAAAAACACAGTAAATGCTTTCTCAGTTTTGATTTCTCCCTTACCGCATGTCAATAGCTCCTGCTTCACTCCTGTGACTGGCTGGGCCTGCAGTGACTTAGGATAAACACACCTGGTGTCCCGCACAGTGATGTTCCTCTCCTTTACCCAGCGATGCATCCACAATATGTTGCAGTCACACAAAAGATACTCTGTCTGAAATTCTCTGTAAAATACAAATTGGAGATTATCGTGAAAAAAATAAAATGGCACCATGCTTTATCTTGGTTTACTTCTTTGCCGGAAAGCACAATACTTCTACTATGCCTCTAACATATACCACTAACTAGTTATGGTCATCTTTCCAAGGACCTGCCTCCAACACTGTCCCCCACTGACCTGGAACTCTGCTTTTGATAGAAGTTGGAATGCAAAGAAAAACTATCTGCCAGACATCCTCATCCATGCAACAAGCCCCACAGCTCCAGAGTTCAATACCAAGTCCCCATCCTTTTTGTCTACCAAGCCTCTATGAATTTGGCAATAATTTTGAATCTTGAAGCCTTTCCCCAATTTTTCAGTATATTCATGGCTGAAAGGTCTAAATGTTTACAATCTCCCGTTGATTTTGGCAATGAAATAGCATCATATAGTAATATAGGAATGTTCTATGTGGTTGTATTCTTTTTTAAAATTTTTTTTTTAGTTGTAGATGAACACAATACTTTTATTTTATTTATTTATTTTCATGTGGTACTGAGTACTGAACCCAGTGTCTCACACATGCTGAGCCACAACCCCAGCCCTCAGTGTGCCTAAATTCTTTGATGTCTGACTAGATTGTACATTCAAGGATAGAGACTACTTCTGACCTTTCCTTCTCCTCCTATGCAACAATGGCTTAAGAGATAAAGACTCAACATATCACAAACAGGAAAATAAGAATACTTCACAACTGGACTGGGGAATGTAGCTCAGTGGTAGAGCATTTGCCCAGAATGCCTGAAGCCCTGGGTTTGATCCCCAGCACCACTAAAACTAACTAAATAAATAATACTGCATATTTGATATGAAAGAAAGCAGAGAATCATCTTTATATGAAGCAGAAAAAGCATCGTAATTTGAAGTCGGATGAAATACCCAAAGAAAGGGTACACACACAAAGCGTGGACACAAGCGCAATAACCTGCAGGCTTTGCTAAGCCCTGACTATTCATATGCCATATGCATCCAGCTAAGAAAAAACTACAAGATGCTGCCCCTGCCAGCATGGAGAATAGAACAGGAAGAACAAAACATACTAAGATAGAATGGAATATGCCTGATAAAAATAAACCAACTAAGTGCAAACAGCAAGCCTAAGTGTGCATGCTTCTAACAGGGTGTTAGCACAGGGGGAAAAAAGGAAAAAAGGGACATGATGAAACAAAGCCAAGGGAAGACAATGACAGAAGACCTGGCTCACTTCTAATTCTGAAGCTCCATCTTCTGGTCAGTTCAGTTCCTAACACAACTGAGTACAAACACTGCGATGTTTCCCAGTTCTGGGCTGGAAATACTTGCCACATTCCAGCTGCTCAAAAATCTCAGAAGACAGATTATCCTTTGCCATCTTCCTTTCTTCTACTCATCCATCCCCTCTCCTTCCTTCCTCTTTCTTTTTCCTTTTCAAATTTTTCCCCACGGTACTGGGGATGGAACGCAGGTCCTCATACATGCTAGGCAAGCCCTCTATCACTGAGCTACATCCCCTGCCTTTTATTTCATTTTGAGACAGAGTGTCCCCATTTGGCACAGGCTGGCCTCAAGCTTATAATCTTTCTGCCTCAGTCTCCCAAACAGCTGAGAGTATAGGCGTGTGCCACTGCACCCAGCATGCAATCGTATTTCCTAAATTTCAGAGTGGGCTGAGATACCGCTCAGTGGTAGAGTGCTCGCCTAGCATGCTCCAAGTCCTTGATTCCATCCTAGCACTGCAACAAACAAAAAAAACAGAGAAACAGCTGACTTGAGCCCACTAAGTGTGTCAAAAGGGGTCAAAAGGTCGAAAGGAGCTATTTTCACACATAGGCAGCCCTCTGGATAAGAACAGTTGTGGCAAGAAGACCAGATAAGAGTGACCTGATGGGACTTTAGTGCATATACCTCCTGCAGGATGGTAATAAGCTGGAACCCACTGGCTACATCCAATGGCAATTGCTACCTGAGACTCTAATGACAGATACAGAAAAGGAAAGGGGCTGGGGCAGAGCTCAGGGGTAGAACACTGGCCTAACACACTCAAGCTCTGGGTTCAGTCCCTAGCACTACAAAAAAGATGATGACGATGACGAAGATAAGGGAGGAGGGGCTGGGAAGAAAGGGAGAACTCAGCACATACTAAACAGAGGCATCTGGCAGGGAAGAATTTTTTGCCCTAGAAAAAAATTCAATTCCATATATTACAGACAATGAAAATTTTAAAAACAACAAACTGAAGTATAATTCCAACAGAAATTAGTGTAACATAATTTGGGATAGATTAAGGTTTATCTTGATATACATTTACTTTCAAAATAACTCTTGTGCAATCTCTCAGTTAACAAAATTGCATCTGAGAGAAAAAAAATGAACCAATTCTAAAGCGACAGAGAACTGTATGAAGCTCTTACACTGACTTCACAAAGCAAGTCTTCTCAATAAACACCCCTAGAAACATTAGTAATAAATTGTAGTAGATTCAATGTACAGCAGGGAATGCAGGATAAAACTGAATCCTTATGGTATAAAATACCCTGCAACAAAGTCTTCGTAGGAAGGAATAGTTTATACTTTGAGGATTTAATTAGTCAAACCACAAAAACATTTCCTGATTTGAAAAGGCAGAAAGAAACAATTACCCATTTATTTACTCTGAATATAGATTTCACTGATATGGTATTGTGAGGAAAATCTAGCCATTCCAGTCTGAAATGCATTACTCAGATTTACTGTATGCTTTTCCATGTTAATGCAGGCCCTCAAGTAAGAGCCTAATTTTTGAAAATTCACAAGATATTGCTTATGAAATATCTCAGACCACATAGTAAGTGATATTAATTTTCAAAAGTTAACACATGTTAAACAGGACAAAGAATTCTTACTTACAAGGACCGTAATGAGCCAAGATAATCAAAAGTTCCTTGAGAAAGTGAAGAAAACAAATTCCCTGAAAGATTCCTGAGGGGAAAAAAAAGAATTTCACCTTTAAAAATACTGGTACATACCTAAATGAATCCCACCATCATATACTCCCACAAGAATGGAGACCTAATTAGAATAAGACATATTCCATGTTTATATAATTTTATCAAAATGGATTCTATTTTCAATGTATAACTAAAAAGAACCAATAAATAAATAAATAAATAAATAGGCATGTATCACTTTTTACTATTTTAAACTTTTAGAAATATTCTATGATCATTACATAATGTTATCAAGAACTCATGAAAGTTGTTTTAACTCTTACAAAGAGGGAGCTACTAGTAAATATTTCCTCTGAGGTTGAAGAAATCAGTCTTAACCTTTAATATAAACTAGTAAACAAATTTTTAAAAAATAGACTAAAGCTAGATAAGGATTTTATCTATCTACCTTTTTCTAAAAGGTATACTAAATTCCCACTGGAATTACTCTTCATGTGTTCACTCAGCATTATTTAAGGAAAGCAGCAAAGAGAACGGTAAAAATAAATAAGAAATCACAAGAATTAAAATTTTAGCAGCAAGAAGAGGTAAACAACCATGATCAGCAGCAGCAACACACCCTCACTGGTGGAAACAAGAACAGAATGGCCAGAGCCCAGGAGCTAAGGGAGACTAGGAATACACTGCAAGGCTGGGCTTGGACAAATTACCTGACCTCCAGTACCCCACATCAGGTAGCTTAATAACCTAACCCTGTGGAGTTTCACATGAATTAAACTCGTGAACCCAATGCTCCAGTCTTGAGTGCTTTGCTACACCCACTTGACTGAACAGGGTATTTCTTCCAAACCTGACCGTGAATTCAGGGGCTGAAGCAGAGAGCATGTTGCTTGGGTGCCTCTGGCAGCTAGAAACAGGGAGGGGGAGATAGGAATCATGGTGGGGGCCTACTCAGGATGCTCACCTGACCTTCAGGTGCCTATAATATTAAAATGGGACAGAGGGCTCTAGGAAATGGCAGCATGATCAACCTCCACCTCCCCCTAGGATCTGTTAGATGCCTGTTGCAGCATCAAGAATGGACAGAATTCAGAACCAGTGTTCTCAAGAATCAAGTTGAGGGCACAGCAGGGCAGAGAGCTCCTCCAGGGTCCAGGCTGAATCCTTCAGATGTGGGACAGAGTGACACTCATGCAGATGGAGAACCTAGTGTGGAGAGGGAAGAGTGACGGGGGCAGTGACAGCTCCTGCTTGTATACATGCCTTTAGGGCTTTCTTTTTTTAAAATAAAAAAGTTCAGATAAAATGCATTTAAAAAACCCTATGCATGTGCTTCTATATCTGTGGGGTCAACAAAAAGAAAATGTGAAAGTATATATATCAGATCACTAACAGAAGCTAACTCGGGGAGATGTGACTAAAACAATGGAGTATTTGTTTTACCTTCATGTCTCCATATGATTTTATTATTCACTAACATCCAAGTTATTCTGTTCCAAACAATTACTGGAAGTCATGTTTTGTGTTTAGATTTGGGTACCACCCCCGAGATACCTCACTAGGTGTAACGAATATTCCAAAATCCAGAAAAAAAAAATTAAAATCTGAAATGCTCTGTTCCTAAGCATCTTGGATAAGTGCTCCTCCACCTGCATTATACTCTGAGGACACTGCCTTTCCATGACTAAACCGTGAGCTCCCTGGTCCCTTATTGCCTCTTCAACCCTGCAGTTGCTACTTCAAGATGGAACACATCATAGTTGCTCATAAACATTTGGGTACTGGTTCAAATGCCTCCTTATATTTTAATAGGAAAGAAAAGGTACTTACAGCCGAACCAGATTGGTAAGTCCTCGAAATATGTCTGCATTTAGACATCCTATCCGATTGTTTGTCAGGTCCCTGAGGAGAGAGGCGGGGGAAAGTGTCTTCAATTAGTTCTCTCCATTTATAAAGATCTCACACCTCCTATACTGGAGAACACCACCCAGGTATCATGAAAGACCTTTCTTTTCTGCATCTTTATTTTATTTACCCACCTCAATTGAGATAATGATTCCTGCTTGCGTTTACATCTGGCATACAAGATTAAATGCGACTTACTTACATTCTAAGCATTTATTCCTACCAAAATACTCAAGATAAACCTGGAATAGTAGACATGAGACTCTATCTATCTTACTGCCTGGGATACAATTCCTTAGATGACCTACACAGCTAAATTACACTGGGCACTCTCAACCAGCAAATAAGAGACAATGGGGAAAAAGGATAAATTATCAAAATGATGAAACTTTTATTTCCTCACAAACACTTGAAACTCAATGCTTTCTAACTTCATTCCTTAAAATACTCAAAAGAGTTCCGACTGTAATTAAAAACTGAATTAATTTTACTTTAAAGGTCTATCATTTAGTCTCAAGCCAAATTAACAATATCTAGGTAATGATCTAATTATTTTTTACAGTCAGTCCTAAATTCAATGTCCTAACGAATGATATTTTTTCTAAATATTTTTTCTTCTCCTCAATCTAGGAAATGTTTTCCTTTTCATTTATACAGAATTTTTAGTTAGTATTGGGGTTCTTTCTCTACTGACTGTACTTCACACTATGCATCACAAATACAATTTTAATTTTATATTTAATCAGAGACCCACCCTGGCTGTAAGTGAAAAGTCTATGTTGGGAGATAACAACTGACATGTCCCACAACTTTCAACTAGAACGGTATGCCTTTCATCCCAGTTCATCAGTGAACACAGGGAATGCTGCAAGAAACCTCCACAACAACAAACGTTAATTATCATTAGTTGTTAGGCTGTGAATAATTCAAGACACTTCAAATTTCAATGAAAGAATTAGAACAAGCTCTCTAAACAAAACTTTTTGAGAATTACTTTTATCATGTTTTCTTCGATGTACATACCCTTCTCTGTCACGGGAAGTACACTGTCTCTGGGGTACTCTAGGAAAGTGATTTGAAGTACCCATTTCCAACAGAAAACCTTCGGATCCCAAACTGTACACGTGGTAATGGCAGAAGATGTATTAGTTTGACATCAACTGTGAGAACGTGGCATTTGAAGCAGGTACCTACTCATTCAGTTTTTCCCTGGGGTATTCAAAAGCTGCCTTAAATAATCCTGGTGGGCAACAGTTTCATAGTGCTGCCCTCCTCTAAGGCAACGTTAGCTAAAAGACCTCAAGCAATACACACCTTCATCTTGCTTTTTGTACAGCTCAGGCTCTTTATAGGGGCGGGGGGCTTTTTAAAAAAAAAATTTATTCCAATAGATTTTCCTCCAATTTCTGTTTTACCATTTTAAAAAAGTAAGCACCACCTCATGAACTGTTGCTTAAACAAGCACTTCTGGGTTCTACTCATGACCTTGTCTTACTTCTGAGCTTTAAATGGTATAATCACCATTGATTCTTTAGGAAACAATTTCATTACAGCTATGTCTACTTAAAAAGGAATTTAGGTATCAATGACATATGGTTTTCATTTGGGTTGAGGATTCAGCCTGAATTTGTTGATACAGAAAAACTGAATGTCTAGGTTTCACCTACTTCTGGTAGTCTATTTTCAGAAAACCACTTCATCTTCCTGATTCAAGTTACCTATAAACTAAAGGCAAAGGCTTGAGACGCTTATAAAAGACCTATGTGTGGCTGTGGAGGAGGATGCTCAACTGAATGATGAAAGGCCTCGTAAGAAAAGGTGCCTATGTATATCCACAAGCAACCATCAAACACCACTGCAGAATATCCACATCCACCAAGCCTACATAGGACCCCTTCAGCTTGCCCACTGTGGGCCCTAGGGACCCTTCAATTATAAGTCAGCTATTAGATTTAAGAATGTATTTTGTGGTGAGAAGAGCATTATACATGGCAATTACCTTCCTAAGCAAGAACACAACAGACAACTTCATGTGTAATGCTATGAAAAAATGCTAAGGCGATGCCCAACTACACTACCAGTCATTAAATTTATTTTAGGTAGTAGTCCTGGAGAAATTCTGTAGGACAAAGTACTAGACGGTGAACCTAAGGTATTCTACAACACCCCCAATGAAACTAATTCTTCTAACAAATAGTCAAGTGTCCTTCAACCTCCATATCAGCAGCATTAACCTTTCTACCACCAGCAGAGCTGCGAATATTGTGGTGTGACTCACAGAGGGAAGGAAGAGTAAGTGATCCTATCTGACAATATGATGTCACGTTCTCTCCTAGATGTTAAAGGAAAGAATATTCTAGAAGGTCTAAAAGCATTAGAATCACTAGGAAGGACAGCTGAAACAATGATCAACTTCAGCTCCACCATTTCAGACAGGGCAGGTCAGGCCTCTGCCTGAGGACTTGGTTCCTCGGCACAGGAACCAAGTGCCTCAGCATGGCAAGAAGCACAAAGGAAGGACCTGGCCTCCCTGCTGCCCCCTCTCTCTCCAGGGACTCTATCTGGTTGTGTCACCTATTTAGGACCATGCTCGGCACCCCTGCCTGCGTCTGTATGATGGAGTCTTAATAACCCCCAAGACTCCTGCTCAGCCTCTGTGGATAGATGCCATGTCCACATCCGCGCTCTGGGTTCTTATGATTCCGCTACACTCCTTGACTCACCTGGTACCTCTGGAGCCCAGCCCGCTGTGGGGTGCAAAAGATGGACTTGATGAATTTTTGTTGAACTCAACTCACCTGGATCCCTGCCTTGCCACGGCCTTGGTGATGCTGTTGTACCCGGCTGATACTACTTTTACTGAGCTCCATACATAGCTTGACCTGCTACCATGTTGATGCCCACCTAGTGTCCAGTGCTTCTCACACTCTGACTCCTTAACCCTGGTCTCTGGTAACAATACTGACCTACCCTAGACAGGCCAGGCCAATTTTTTATTGGTTTCATTAAAAAGCCTTAACTACAAAATAATACAAGTACAGAATGAACAGAAAATAAGAAAACTGGTAGCAATCCCTCCTTCATATTTCCTTAGGCTTCTACTTAGAGTAGGCAAAGGCAGATACAAACAATGAGCCACTACTCACCCCAGTAAGAGCTATGGTAATAAAAGCTCCCCACTACAGACCTGATTAAAATTTAAATAATTTTGCAGGCTGAAAAGAAATCCTTTAACTCCTGCTACTGTTAATCTTACAGAATTCCAAACAAGACTGCCAAACAGAGAGAAAAGGGGGAAAAGCTATATCTATGTCTTAGATGAAAGATATCTTATTTGCATAAGTAGTAATTTGGGGGCTATAGCTATAGCTCAGTGCATAGCTCTTGCCTAGCATGCAGAAGGCCCTAGGGTTCAATCTCCATGTTGTACACACACACACACACACAAAGTAGTAATTAAAAAAAAAAAAACCTGGGAAAATAGCACAAGAATGATCTGAGGTGATGGCAACTGAGAGGAAACATAAGAACAAAACATAGAAGGAAAGTCTCTGTGTTCTCCTTGTTCGACTAAAAGCAGGACATAAGTTGCAAAGGTGTCCCTCCATCTCCTCTAGGAAGGACAAAGCCCGGCCTCTAGAGGGTTCTGGAGCCTTATCAGCCTAGGAAGCACCAGAGGACTCTATACAGCAAACATTACTAATTAGACTTTATCTACTATTCATTTCCCATATATTTGCCTTCCCACAAATTACTGCCCCTGGAGACTCAAGGTGCTTATCCTTTGTCCTGTTACTTCTCTAAAACTGTATTGCTCCCTGCTGAAGATGTTCCATCTGACAGTTCTGAACCACCCCTTTGACACACTCTTTTCCTGGGTTTTCTCCCTTGTGTATAAGGAAATATACATGCTAATAAACCTCTGTTTTTCTCTTATGAATCTTTGTTAGATGAGTCCGAGATGAGAACTTACAAAGTAGAGAAAAAAAAAGTTACTGTTCTTCCCCTACACTATATATTTTCTCTCAAGAGTCTGACAGCTTTTCTGGAGAAGTCAGAACCTGGGAAGCAGCTAGTGAACAACAACTGTTTTTGGAAGAAATGCAGGATGGCAGGACAATCTCAGCAGTCACATCTCAAAAGTGAGCAACTACAAAAAGAACCCAAAGAAGAATGGGGTTGTTTAGCTTTGGAAGGTACAACAACTAGACTTTAGAATTTGAAATAATAATACATAGATTAAAAAAAATACATGAAATCCGCAACATTTCACATCATTATAGAAAGGCGCCTTGATTTACAGACAGTTTGAATAGAGTCATAACTTGAAATTCATCTATAGATTATGTCAACCCACAGAGCGGCCACATTAATGATTTTATTAGCATACAGAAGACACAACTACCTACCACCAAACATATCATACCTGTGCAAATTAACCTCCTCCTAAGCTACACATATTAAATACTATCTGTTCTTTGATCGGGGACCTGGCCAGGTGAGCCTCTAGAAATTACTCATCATTTACTTTCTATCATGGTAAAGTCAATTAACAGCTGCTTATGAGATACACAACTCCAAACTCGTAAGTGAGCAATTCAAATACTCACAATCTTTTTAGTGATGACAGTCCCCAAAAGGCACCTGGATCTATACTGCTTATCAGATTGTTCCGGAGATCCCTGTGAAAAACAAAATAAATGTAACTCACAGATCGACACTGTCAAAAATATTCAGGCGACTACACTTACCTGCTGCACAGAAAGCAACACTAACAGCAGCGACATGAGGAAATGGAAGCCAGAAACATTAAGCCAAGTGACAGCAGTGACAGTGAGAATTCAAATTTGAAAAACCTGGCTCCAAAGCCTTTTGTTTCAGTCAACACAGGAAGAAAGGCATATGTCTTAAAAGGGACATGGTCCTCCCATTATTCAAATCTAAATCATCACTAAACTATAACCATAAAAAATCGTTTTCTTAGTATGATCTAATTTGGTTATCAAAGTATACTAGTTACTGGATTTATGACAAACATCATTAAATTGAGTTTTTTTTAAATACCCAATCCAAAATTCATGTCACTTAGCTCTTCACACTTATTTTCTTCTTGGGCTTCCATAGTTAGGTTTTCTATAAAGTGAAGATACAAAAAGATATGCAATAAATCACGATATGTAAAGCTGGGCACAGTGGCGCAAACCTGGAATCCCAGCTCCTCATGAGGGTGAGGTGGGTCACCACCTTGATTGAGGCCAGCCTGGGCAACTCAGCAAGACTCTGCCTCAAAATAAATTTTTAGAAGGACTGGGGAGGTAACTCAGAGGTAGAATACTCCTGGGTTCATTTCCCAATATGAAAAACTTTTGAGGAATAAGTAAAAATCACACTATGTAGCTCAAAACAAAGATGCAGAAGGCCTTATCTCCTGGGCACCCACAGCAGTCACAGTTGACACACTCATCCTTCTCAAGCACACTACTGCACACCCATGCCAGGGCCCTACCACTGGGGGCAGCAGTGTCTCAGTGCAGTGTCTCAGTACATCTCTCTCGGGTGGGGCTGTGGGCAGCAGGCTGAGGCAGTTGCTACTATCTACCCAGTACCCAGGCTCAGATGGAGACCCTCGGCTAGACTCCTGCTTAGAAGTCAGATATCATCCATTTCCTGGGACCACACTCCTGCCATGGCTGGACCACACTGCAGTTATTCCAGACACTCTGAGGTGAGGCTACTAGTCAGGACACAACCTTGATGGCCAAGTCAGAATGGCTTCCAGACACCATCTGGGCCTGAAGCCAGACCATATGCAGACACTTTTTCCTGCTGCTCTTTCCCAGAAGTCTTGACCTAACAATGCCAACCGGCCCCTTCCTCACATGCCAGGTTTGGGCTTCCTATGTCACCTGTCCACACCATCAGTGAATACCACAGGTGTACAGAGGAAGATCAACACCAGCCAGGACAGCAGGTGCCTCTGGGTTTCCCAAGTCCCTTACGTACTTCAGCTGAGATTTAAAGGCTTCCCCAGAAACAGACCCAGGACCTTGGTGCTACCCGTTTTCATAATGAGGGACCTGTGTCTGGGGGATCTTTAATAACGACTGCTCCGTCGTGGACAGACCAGCCCGTGTCCCGACAGTCTAAACTACTCGGAGATCCTCAGTTTGCCATCTCAGGCCTTGCAGTTCAGAAAGCATCAGGACTCCTTTCTCTACTCGTGCTTAGGAAAAGGATTCCATGAAAGCCTTACTGCAGAGAGCACAGTGGGGTCTCCTCCCTCCGGCTCCACTGCCACACCAGCTCATGAAAACCATTATATGGCCCAATTCATAACATATTGGTTACTTAACTATCGATACAGTAGAAGTTGCAACACTGGGGTCATCTTCTGGATAGGCTTCCCGGAAAATTCACAAATACTTTCTGATGAGGCTACCCTCTGCCTGGTGGCAGGAGTTACTCATTTCCTGTGAGCCCAGCATTCTTGACAAGCCATTGTCCTGTGGCTCACCACACTGCCCAGCCTGCTTACTACATGGGGACAGAGACCCACTCGAGGTTGCAAGACTGCTTCTCTGGGATAATGCCCTGTTGACTCCTGTGATCCACATGGCCTCCAGAGAACCCCAGCCTCCAAGCCCTGTCTACCTGCTTCTAACCACATCCTGTGCCCCTTCCTCAGGAGCCAGGATCAGGACTGCAATGCCACCATCTCCCTGGCTCATCAGAGTCAGGATTTTCTAAATACAACTAAACCGCACTTCTTTTAAAAAGGAAATAATCATTGAACACAGACATAAAACCAATCTGATTGCTGTTATGAAGTTTTTCATTGACCAGAATCCAGATTGTATGTTTCACAAGAATATTCTAAACATTAGCAGCTACCTTGACTTAGGGTCAGAGAAGGAGGTTTCCCTCCAGGCTCTACGGTATTTCCTTAAAAAAAAAAAAAAAAGAAAAAAGGAAAGAAAACAAAGTAATTAACTAAAAATATCAGAAAAGGTTAGGAAGCTTCCCAAAACATATTCGGACAATAATAAAGTCTTAGAAGATTGTCAGTGAATTCAATTCCTACACTTCTCTCTATATTTCCAACCAAATTTTAAGCTCTTAACTGTGAGTAAGAAGATGGTCCCTGGTTTAGCAATTTGAACTGAAAAGGAAAATCATGCAGAGATGAAGTTTCCTGTGTGCCCCAGCCCAGGGGATCCCTTATCCTAAGTACCTGCCTTAGGGCCCAGGGAGCCATGGCAGTGGACAGTGGTCCCTGTATATGCAACCGTCCACTATGGCTTTCTTTTGCCACCTCCTGAGAATCTACCCATGAAGATCAGAGATGGAGGGTGGCAACAGGCCTGGGAAGGGAGATGACAGGGACAATATCCCAGCTACAGGCTGGGTGGTCTGAGCCTGCTCCTCAAGGCTCCCTCCGAGTCCAGGGTGCCTGCTGCAGACCAGCTCAGCAGAGCACCAGCACTGTCCTTCCTCCTCACTGTCCGGCTCCCAAACTAACTGGCTGAATTCCCACCTCATCTCAGAACCTGCTCCAGGGCAACAGCTGCTCACACTGGCTGGTCCTGTGACCCTGCCGGTACCCGGACAAGTACTGACACCCAATGCAGAGCTGCCGGAGACTGTCCATTTCATTCTAGGGCAAAAAGCAGAGGAACAAACCAGAGTCAATGGAAATTTTTAAAAATTTGAGGCTAGATAGAGATGGAAAACGGTAGCACCTATGAAAAATTCCAGAATACAACAATGACAGCACTAAGGACGGCTGCTGAGTATGGAAGGTGGTCACTGCGCACAGATCTAGGGGCTCTGTTTAATGCTGGTAGCCTTCTCTTGATTAGGGAGATGCACCCCTACTTCTCCAAATGGCACAGAATATACCTCAAATTTTTCCATATGTGGCTCTTAATCAACATTGTCCGGATCTTTCAAATGCACAAGGTTTAAACTGGCATGATTACAATAGCCTAGTCTGACCAGAGGTGGGACTGCCATTCCCACATTAAAGGATGAAAGGATGTGAGCCTGCGGCCATCAGTGGCCTCTCGCTACAAAGACAAAAGAGCCTATAACATGACCTCAACAGACAGGAAGCCTTGGATCAGGCCATGCCTGAAACCCAGCTCTAACCCTGGGCTCCTCATGTGGACAAACCACTAAATCCAGTGAGCTGATGTCTGTCACTCATCATGCCATGATGTTCCTATCTCCCCCTCCCTACCTGACCCCAACCACACACATCAATCACCTCACAATCACCCTACGAGGTAGTATCCTTATTTCAGATGAGGAAATTCTGTGCTGAAAGATTAAAAATTTTGGCCAAGATCTGACGTTAATAAGTGGACAGGATTTAATATATCTTGGACCGATATAGTGGAAAGGTATTAAAGGAACTAAGTAAATTTTTACCTAGAGCAACAGGAAAATAGCTAAAGCACATGCACTAAAGAGCTAACCAGAAGTGGGACTGAGGAAGGTAAAATTCTTCTAATTTCTCAGTATGTTTTAAAAAAAAAAAAAAAAAAGCTAAAAAAGAAATTATTATACTAAGTAATAATGCTGCATCGTCACCCCCTTCCATCCTCTCCCTTTACCCTAACCCAGGTGACATGCCACTCTCCCAGCAGCCCCTCTCCACCTAAGGAGGTCTTTCTCAACGTGAACCTGACTGTGGCTCTGCTCTAGCTGAAACCTCCAAAAGCTGCCACCTCAGAAGAAAGGTCAAAGGCTTAAGTACCCACAAGGCTGTCCCCGGCCCTGGCCTCACCCATCGTTCCCACTCCAACTCTCACCTCCCATCCTGCCCCAGCACCTCCCTTCCACTCACTCCTCCATCCTTCTCTCTTCGCATGTGCCAGTCACAGTCCAAGATACTTCCAGAAAGGACCATTTTGGGGCCAGGGTTCATGTAGCTCGATGGTAGAGTGCATATCTAGCATGCTTGAGGCCCTGGGTTCCATCCCTAGCACTGGAAAGAAGGAAAGGCAAGACAGCAAGCGGGCAGGCAGTGTGGCTCATCTTCTCTCACCTTGAGACATTCACACTTGGGGCATCCCCTCCTTAACACATACCTTAATCTCCCTGACCCCACAGTTCTTCTACTTGACTCACTCCTACTCACTCGTGAGACTTGGATTAAACACCATTCCTTCCTCCAGAAATATGCCTCTAAATAACGATGCCCTCCGCCCCCCAACAGGCCTCACCATGCTATACTGGGCTGTTAAATGTCTTTACCAACGGATCCCAAGTTCCACAAGACCAAGGTGTGCTGTGCCCAGTGAGAGGGAGACATCTGATACATAGCAAGTGGACAGATGGATAAACAGGAGAAAAAAATAAACTCTGGCTGAGACAAAATCATGTCAACTAACCTTTACTATAAAAATATTTTTAGTGAATTATGGTTAGCCACAAAATCACTAGGTTATTTATAAAGACACAACATGTAGAGAATATCATCTCTTTCATAATCATTTACATTCTCAGTAGAAACAGTGCCATGATCTCTGCAACTGACCATCAAATAATTCAGCACACACGTGGGCATGTTGGTATACTCCAACAGGAGAATAAACAATGGCAGTTACTAAATACTGAACTGCTAAATATGAGAAGAGAATCTCTTATATGGGAGATTACGGTTTTGTCTTTTCCATTTTTCTGTGTTTGAAATTTTTCATCAAAAATGTATTTTTATCCCCAACTTTAACAGTTCCAGATTTTGAGGTTAGTCCCAGGAAGTGCAGTCTATCATCAGCCCACTTATTAGTTCCTATCTCCCCCTCCCTACCTGACCCCAACCACACACATCAAAGAAAGAAAATGATTTTTATGAGAAAATTCAACCCATATGGTTTTGACTTGTTTTGCATAAGCTGAAAAGCTCTGGAAATAGAAATATATAATGTCAGTTCCATTTTTTTAAAACATAAGTTTCCCTTTTCAGATTTTAAATAGCGTCTACAAGAGGAACTGATTTAGCTAAAGCAGTACATAAATTTGTGGCCAATGATGAACTGCATGTGTTTCTACCAAATACCTCTCATGAATAACTGAGTGCCGTAATATGATTTAAAGATACACTTTTTCTTTAATAATAAAAAATTCTCGACATATTATATAATATTTAATAATAGCCATATTAATCAGCCATTGCCAAGAGATATTTATAGTCATATTCTCTCATTTAACATTTCCCTTCCCCCACCAACCTACAGCATCCCTAGTAAACATGAGTCTAACCTTAGAAAACAGAACTAAGTCTGAATACAATGGATCATTAAAACCTAAGTGAAAAGAAGCACAAAGAACTGCTTGAACAGCATTAAAGGACTATTTTAATAGCTCCTGGTAAAAGCAGGGACTCCTTTAGGATGTGTCTTGTATAAGAACACTCAACTCAAAAGTCTTCAACAATCAAGAGAACAAAGCTCTGGCATTACAGGAACCAGAGGAGGAGAGCTAAGTTGGCAGCAGATCCCACCCACCTCTTAGGTCCATTATTCTTGGCAGGTGACTGCCTAAAGCCAAAAGATATCCAGCCCCCCAGCTCCCTCCACACAAAGGAATGGAAAAGAACAGACTTTCTTCTCCTATCGCCACAGAAGCTATATAATCTTTCCCCAAAGCCCACAGCAAGCTGCCCCTCATTTCTTAGCTATGATTAAGTCTGTAAGAGAGATGCTGAATTACCTTGGTGGCCTCAACCCATCCCTTGGGGTAGAGTTAACTTTGGGGAGTCACACACCTGGATCAGTAGGCAATCTTAACATCAGTGTTCCAGTGTCTGCGGGAAGCATGTTGTTAAATATTGATAACTAAGTACATAAGACAATACGAGAATAATGCTACATCAAAAGGAAAAGGTAGAAGAAGGGAGGGGGAGGGAGGGACGCAGACAAGTAGATGAATGAATGGCTGCACAACGTAGGTAAAATTCTCGTTTTTTAAAGTCTAAAAAAGGAGAGACAGGGTGAACTCTGTAAGTCTGACCTTCAACCCAAAGGAACTGCCAAGGATAGCCTGGTGTCTGGATTCCCTCAATCTTGGGCATGTCTGCTAGGTCAGCTAGGCTGGCCCACCCCTCCCTCCCGGCCCCACTCTGTTACACTCAACTCCTATTGTCTTGGTTCCATTAATTTTATGTTCACAGCTTTGAAGTTCTGACTCCGGTTTGAGTAATTCCTTGTTCTACTAAACATCCTTTACACCATATCATATTCTGCCATATCTTCAAGTTACTTGGTTAAATCATTCTCATTTATTGGGGGTCTCCAACTAGCCAAAGCTGAAGTGCAATCATTGTGTTTGGCTGGCTGTATCTCCTAGGTTTTCCTCATTAAGTTTGTAAACGCAGTGGCTCTATTCAGGGGGAGATCCCAGGATGTACCAGAAAAGCGCACGGAATAAAGAGGAGACAGGAGCCAATAAAAGGTGTGCCGCTACAGGTGCCACCGTGGTCAGCCTCAATCCCCTGGGGACTCTGGAAGACGATGCAGAGCACACATCGGTGTGGCCCCACATGAGAGGTGAGGGAGTCGGGGCCTTTATCACCCTCTGCTATCAACTGACCGCTGAGGGCAACTGAAAGCAAGAAAGGGCAGGAGAGTGGTTCCTCTCAAGTACTGGAGCCCAGACTCCCACTAGGAAGACCCAGGGAGAGATGCACAGGATGGTGACTGCTGAAGAAGTAAATCTGCCCTCTGGAGGACTAAGGACAGAGGAGATGTCTGGGCTCCTCAGAGCCAGAGCAGTAAGAGCCCAGCAGTAACACCCCTTTTTCTTTCCTTCTGAAGGGGCTGTTCTCCCACAAAGGCAGTGCGGGCAGTTGGTCTCACCTGGGCATGCCTGGCCACCCTCACACTGCAACACTAAGGCCAAGACTCAGGTCTGGGACCCTAAGTGCTTGAAAAAGTGCTGAGGGTAGGGGCTGCACAGGTATAGGTGTTCTTCAACCTGGGAGGACCCTGTCCAGATCCAGCACTGGGGCTTTGGGCTGAAGCTCCCACTAACCAAGTCCTTCACAGTCGTGTGTGTGTGTGTGTGTGTGTGTGTGTGTGTGTGTGCGTGCGCGAGCGCGCTCTCTTAATATCACCCAAAATGGCAACCTAATTGGTTTGTTCCAAATATAGAGATTTATCATCAACAAAAAGTTGAAAATAAGGTCAAAGAGAAAGGAAATTAAGAAACGAATTTAAGAGGAGCAGCAATGCACATCACAGCACAGAACACTGGCCATGCTGGCTACACTTCCTAGGTGCACATGAATAACCACATGGAGCCCACGAAGTGTGTTTCTAAATATGACAGCTATTTCTACCTGGGGGTGTCTGTCACCTCCCTTCTGGAAATGGAGAACCACACCAATCATCAGCTGAGCTATGCTGAATGCCTGGCAGTGTGCTGCTACATGCTGGGATAGTTACCTAGAACTTCTTTGCAAGGAGTAAACACATGGCAGGAATGTACGGCCTCTGGTAAGCAGTGTCATGTTTCAGAAGGGTCCCCCAGGGCTTCCCACTGGAAACCTGTTGGCCTTCCCCAGGGATTTTAACATGCTGGACCAGCCCACACTAGCAGCAGATGGCTCCTGTACCACATCTTCCTGGTGGCAGAGAGGTAATTCCCTTCCAAAAGATCCAAGCACATCTGAACTCAGTCAAGTTGGCTCAAATGCCCACTCCTGAACCAGGAGCCATGGAATGTGCTCTATTAACAGGCTGCTCTTAGCATGGACAGACATGGGGCTGAGGGTATAACCAGCATCCTCAAGAGGCTCCCAAGGAGTACAAGCAGAATTATTAAATTAAAATAGAAAATAAAATTCTGAAAATTAAGTACTGTCATGCCAAGAATGTTTTAGAGTATTTATATATGAGTGGTTGTGTATGTGTTTACACACACACACACACACACACACACACGTGGGCCTATGAAGTATATGCATGTGTGTATAAATAAGGATGTAGTGCTACATACATGTGTACACATATAAGTATATATAAAACCTAATTAAAGAGATCTGATCCAAAAAACAGAAAGAGAAAAAGACATACACGAAAAGATAAAGAACACTGAGCACTATGCACTTAAAAACTTAAAAAACAGTGCCGGGCGTGGTAGTACACACCTGTCATCCCAGCAAGTCAGGAAGCTAAGGCAAGAGCATCCAAAGTTTGAGGCCAGCCTCAGCAACTTAGCAAGACTCTGTCTCAAAATAAAAAATAAACAAGTCTGGGGATGCAGGTCAGTGGCAAGGTGCCCTGGGTTCAATCCCCAGTACCAAAAAAGAAAATACACATCAGTGATCTAGGCAACGAAGTCCTGTGGGAGTCCAAGCACTGAAGCCCCAGGTAAAACAGTCACAGGTAAGGCCTCAGAGAGAAGCAGAGTGAGGCAGAGCAAGGAGAATTAAGAAAAACGACAGTGATGCTTCACAGAAACGGAGACACTCAGTGTGGCTCCCTCATGCACTTTGAAATTTAATGCTAAGTGCATGAGTAACAGGGGAATTTGAAACAGTATCCTGGAATCACATTGAGAACACAAGCAAATTAAATATCCATTGCCTAAAATTTACCACAGCAAAAAAATGAGTGCTATTTAAAACACATCAGATCATCAGCAAAACTAGGCAACTTCCAAGCAAATATTTTGTTCAAAGATATCAGAATATTCTAGTTTTTCCTTGATTTTCTGAAATTCAAATTATAAAACATATACATTCCATGATACAGAACTTCAAAATTCTATCCATGCTTTAAGCCAATGGTCAGTCCACAACAGTCCATGGTGTGTTCTGCAAATAGTTTTACAGGAAGACATTCAGGTCAATTTATTATTATTGCCATCCTGTCTTACACAGCACCTCTTTGTAGTGACCTACTTTTTGTCTATGACTGCTTTACGACTTGAGTGGCAGGGCTGTGACAAGCCTATGGCTCACAAAGTCCACATCTGTTACTATTTCACCCTTTCAGTAGGTGTGCCTCCCTCTAAGTAATTATTTTGTTTTAAAAATTCAAGTCCTGAAATTTTGCATGATAAAATGCTGGGAAAATTCACCTTTTGTTCTGAATGTCTGGGACTTTGGCAACATGTTCACAATGAAAATGTATTAAATAAAAGAAGAAGAAATGATAGGCAGGGCTTGTGGCTCAGTGGTAAACCACTTGTCTAGCATGTGTGAGGCACTGGGTTTGATCCTCAGCACCACATAAAAATAAATAAAGGTTCATCAACAACTAAAATATAAATATTTTTTTTAAGAGAGAAAGAAATGATAATGAAGGAATACTCACAATCTTTCAAGGAGACTTAACCCGGAAAACGAGCCATTCTTCAGCTCAGATATTTTATTGTTGCTCAGAATCCTAAAAAAATGACAAGAAAGAAAAATATAAGTTGTTCAGGATACACCATCAGTATCAAAGTAATTCCACCTGCTCAGTTTAAACCTATGAGGGAATTCTCAGAAATCATCTACTATACCCAGATAAACAAGAATAAGGGGGCTTCTGTGCCAAAATAACTCATTCATACATCTCATCACAGCTTAAATCATTCCTGTCACACGTAACCAAAACCTGAAAAGGAAAAGAGAGAAAAATCAACACACAAGTAGCTCTAAGCTCGATATTAGGAGAGAAGATGGCATGCGCACTAATGTAGTCAATCCATACATGAAAGGTGCACATTTGTTTTAAAATTGGAAACCTGGCAGAAAAATGTACGCACAACATGTTATCAACAAAATATTGACCTTACAAAGAAATAAAGTACTTTCTGGATTTCATTTCTATAATGCTGAATATTGTTTCTATTTCAACAACAAATGTGCTGTGCGTGATCCTGCTTTCCATCAGTGCTCAGCCACTCCCCCTGCAGGACAGTCCTGAGAGAGACTCGGTGGACACCACCACCTCGCTTCCTCTCCGGGCTCTGGAACTCTATGTAACTTCTGCAGCCTGAGGATCAACACAGAGTGCTTGCGAAGAAGGTGAAAATGCTGAAGCTACCAGATTTGGGGCAGGGGGGACATCAAGGTAAGGATAATGAATGAAAAAAAATCAAGTTGAGAGTTAAGTAAACGGTCCAGATTCCATTAGCAGATGGCAGAGCCGCTCTCTGAGCCCATGCAATTCCTACTCCAAATCCCATGGTCTTCGATATACACCAGGGATGGTCAAGACGCCATAGACATTGGGGCAGAAATTCTTCATCACACTGGTGTCTCGTAACTCTCAGGAGTAGCCTCACAGCACTACAACACAACAGCCACATATGCACACAAAGGCACATGAGACTTCAGGTATTTGTTTTATTTTGTCTAAAAAATAGAGTTGGATTTTTTTCATTTAGACTTTTTTTTTCCTACTGAAACAAACAAAAGTGGCCAGGTGACATTTAATTTTTCTTTAATAAAAATAGGATTTAAAAAAAAAAAAAAACAATCCCTGCCATGAGATTGCTATCCAGAGCTTTCTTGTGGAGTGACTAGAAATTCCTCAAGTGAAGCCTACCTGTCATTCAAGTTATGTTGATCCCAGGCAACCCATGCCAGCTCTCTAAGAGTTCCCTCTTTCATAAAATGGGAAGAACAGAATCTGCCTCACAAACCCCAGAAAGTGGGTCAGAAAAAAAACAGTACAACCCCAATGAGTAAGCTTCATATCTGGGAGCCCTGGTTTTAAGATACATCATTCTTCATTCCAGGGCTCATGCAGTCAAGGTGCATCTTGCAATCAAAGTATATTACTATGCGATATTCTATCCCTCCCCAAAGCGGCTACTAAAGCAAGGATAAGGCTTCAAAAGCATTCCAACCAAAATACAGCAGGGGAGGAGGGCTGGGGAAGTATAATCAGCAGGTACCAAGTTACAGTTAAGACACAGCAAGAAGCTCTGGGGTACTGTTGCACAGTGTGGTGACTGCAGATAACAATTATGTACTGTATATTCCAAAAAGCCAGAAGAAAGGAATTTGAAAGTTTTTACTCAACAGAACTGATAAATGTTTACACAGATAAGTATGTTTAACCAGATTTAAACACCATGCAACATACACATGTATTGAACAACAAATGGTACCCCATTAATTCATACAACTTTTATGTCTTTGTATATCTGTTTAAAAAAAAATGTTTTAAATACAACAGCATTTTCTTTAATAGAAATGTCAAAGGTTTTTTTTTTGTTTTTTGGTTTTGGGTTTTTTTTTTTTTTTTTTTTTTTAAAGAAAGGTTGGCCTGGGAAAAGCAAACTGAGATGCATGGCTACAACAGTCACTTGAGAGACAGGATCTCTCAGCAGCCTGGAAGAGCACACCAAGTACTTCCACCTGTCTTCCTGGACAGGACTGACCTCAAGCTAACAGTCACCAAATCTGACAAAAGGTATATACAACTCCTTTTGGACAAACACTACCGTCTACCAAGGAGGCCAGGGACCAGAGAAAGAATTAAATTAATTAAGATATAATTAAACGACAAAATTTTATGCATCCATAAAAATTAGTCTTTCAAAAAAGAAAATTTGGAGAAGAAAATTAAATTAATACCATTGATTGAAAAGAATGCATGCACACACACAATCAGTCACTCACACACACACACACCAGGAAGAAAATACATCAAAATGATCACTATCCTAGTGATGAGGTTTTCATTCACTTCCTCTTTATTCTTTACAATCTTGCAGTAACTTTTGAAATATCTAGAATGAGACTCTTATTTTCAAAATAATTTTCTCTTGATGATAAACATAAGAACCTTAATAACTAAGCACAGCTTGAAACTGAGCCAATTCTGAGTATATCTTAGAAATAAAATCTGAAGGAACTACTTTACATTTTGAGATTGAAGAGTCACACTTACTAATTTATCCTTTAAAGAGTTCACGAAGCGAGTGACGCTGGCAACATAACAGGCACCAAAGGTGGTGCAGAAGACAGTGGCGCCTTTGAAGGCGGGGTTCTAACAGAGACCCCACTAGGACAAACCACTCCATCTGTGACAGTCACTCCCCTCTTGTAGGAGGACTCCACCTTTAAGACAGAAATATATTAGACTAGAATGATTACCCAGAACCCCAGCACCTTTTAACTTTCTATAATCATTCACATTTTAATAAGCAAAGCAGTTGAGCTTCACAGGGACTGAGGATTTATACCCAATAACCAAAAACAAAGAAACAAAAAGAAAAGCACACAACTCCCCAGTTCGGTGACATCAGCATCCCATTTCTGGGTGAAGAATGGAACTCCAATATGGAAGTAGCTTGTAAAACAACTGTCAGGGTGGTTGGTGACTGGACTGCGTGTGCTATGACTCAGTACTGCTTCCACAAAGGGACTGTCATGTGCTCAGTCATAAAGGCTGCAGTACAATAAATGATAGGTTTTATCGAGGAGAGAGTAAAAAGGAAGACATTTCATCACACTTAAAAAGTTATAACTGTAACCTCAAAAATATAGTTTACGACCTCAAGTTAATCTATTTAGTCTACACATTACCCAATGTGTTTAAGGATTTTGTGCAGGAAAACAGGATCGGTATGAATAAATCTACTCTGCAGACAGCTTTTATACTCAATTTTGAAACGAGGGATTGTGGAACTAGCAAAGGCATAATACCACATATCATTATCAACCTAAAACCCATTCATAATCAATATTTTTGCTGACATCTCTGAAACTTCAAACTTTCTAGGAGGTAACTAAATGAAAAATATAAAATTGACCAAAGTTATAAAGCTTGTCTAAACCACTTCTGTTCTACACTGACGACGACGATGTTAACGCCACATGATCTATACACAGTGAGCAGAGATGATGTTCAGGCTCCACCTCTCGAACTCAGAGACCAGAGGGGAAGTCTGTCGTCCACTGCTACCATCTAACAGAGCATCAGGTTAGTACCATACATCACGTACACTGACTAGAAAGTGAAAAAAGGAGTATAAAGATTTAATGCAAATCTTTTTAAAAAATCATAATTTTATGGGACAAAAAAAATAAAAATGAGATCTTAGGTATTCTCAGTTGCTTGCTATTCCAAGCCCCAGGATGGAATGAAACCTGGAAAGCTGTTACCAGAACCCACACTCTCCGTATGGTAGAAGTCACAAAACAGCTTTCCTTTTGAGGGGAATTTGAAATTAAATTTCAACAGCATTAACCATTCGAATCAACATTAGGATTATAACTTGTGACACCAACTGCTAAAGGGAAAAAAACAGACAAGTAATCACATAGGCTTATGGTAGCAGGTTGAATGGTTCCAGTGGGCTGGACTTAGGTGGCCACCTCCCCCTACAAAGCTGACCTTATTTAGAAAGAGGTTGCTTCTAAACATCTGCAGACAGAATTAAGATCTAGAGATGAGATCGTCCAGGATTACAACAGGCCCTAAACCCAGTGTGACAAATATCCTAGACAAGTAGGAGAGAAGACACAGAAGAGAAGACTACGTGAAGATCAAGTCCGACTTATAAAAACTCGAAAACACAAGGCAGGCAGAATCCGAAGTCATATTAGCTGAGGCTCTTGCAGAACTAAGGAAAGGAGTAAATATGTCAATGTAGAGCTGGGCGCAGTGATGAAGGCCTGTAATCCCAGTGACTTGGGAGGCTAAGACAGGAGAATCACAAATTCAAGACTAGCCTCAGCAACTAAGGAGGCCCCGTCTCAAAATAAAAAATTAAAAGCCGCTAAAGATGTGTCTCAGTGGTAAAGCATCCCTGGGTTCAATCGTTAGTACCAAAAGAAGTACATTTTTAAAACTATTTGCTATTCTAAATCTATAAGAAATGTTAAAAGATAAGTGATAAATATATATAACTCCCATCAACAGCAAAGAAATAATATTTTCCAAATATATAAAGAACTTTAAAAGAAATCAATTTAAAAAAATCCCCAATAGAAAATCTGGCAATGACCCTGAACAGATAGTTCAATAAAAGTAAACACTAGGCCAGGCACATGGGCCTATTGTCCCAGCAACTCAGCAGGCTAAAGCCGGGAGAATCACGTGAGCCCAAGAGTTCAAGGCCAGGTTGGACAACAAAGGGTGACCCTGTCTCCTTAAAACTAAGTGAATAAGTAAATACCAAGAGATCATAAACATATGAAGAAATATACTTCCTCAATCATGATGGAATACAAATAAAAATTAAAATAAGATGCCATAAACTGCTCATCAGAGGAAGAAAAAATGTGATAACATTTTATATTCCAAGACAAAACAGACACTGATATTTTGCTATGAATCAACACAATCACAAAGGAAGGTAAAAGTACCAATGCATATGATATTTGCTTTACTAATTCCTCTTCTAGTAATTTATCGTAAACACCCACCTGCACTTGGGTAAA